GGTAGAATAGCTTATATCAATTTACGATAAAAAATTTTTTAGTAAAATACCAAATGGAAAATTCATTATTTTTTCTACTAACAAATATTTGTATGAATCATTTTCAAAATTAAACCTCAAATACAATCCCTTTCATTATTATACTGGTAGTTACGTTTTCGCCTTTATTAGGAAATAATATTTTCACTGTATTGAATAGTTTATTATATAAGTATACAAGTATATAATATATAATTAATGTATAACATAGGCATAGCATCGCATGACCGAATCTACTATATGTATATATGTAGATTATATATATTGATTGTAGGTAATGAACAAGGCGGTCTTTTTAACTTCCTGCTAAGAAAATTGAAAATTTTCTAAAAATCGGGAAGATATTGGTTTCACCCCATTTTGCAAAAATCGAGTTCTCAACAGATCTCGACTTTTTGAGGGTCGAGGAAGCTTCCCCGAACATTTCTACGAAGATGTCCGTATGTCTGTATGTGTGTGCGTGTGGATGTATGTGACCCTCTTATAACTTTTAAACGGCTCAACCGATTTGAATAAACTAAACGGCATTTCAAAGGGTTTCATTGCACTTGAATTTCGTGTGAGTTTGGACCCAATCGGACCAGTAGATTTTGAGAAATCTCAAAAATAAAAATTTTCGAATTTCTTCCAAACGACTTGACCGATCGACACCAAAAACTAATCAGTTCTAAACCTTGAAAAAACACATCGTTTGCCGCAAACCGGGTCGAAATCGGTTGATTTACTTGCTAGATATCGAAAACGAAAAATTTCGAAGAGCTCAAAAGCAGTGAAAAAAGCGAAATTTGAACGTTAGCGTATGAAATTAGAGGGAAGTTGCAGGGATGGCCCTTGAGGCCAACCGTTTTCCACATTTTTTTCTTGGACGCTCTATGTGGAACCGGTAAGACTTCTTATACCGGAAATAACGTCTTTATTTGTATATAATATTTTCATGCATTAAGTGGGTATTCTGTCGTAAAAAAAAAGGCAATCAATATTTTTACTATCGATTTTTTTACCAGTTATTTATTAATGTTACAATGGTACAGAAAAAAATAAAAAAAAGAGTCAAACATTTAAAATACTGGCAGCTGATGAAGTGGGGGGTCTCTAAAAATTAGCACATGAGCATACCCATCATTTCAACCCTCCTAGTCATCTGAAATTAAAAAAAAAGATTATAAATCTGCAAATCGCATTTGATGTACTAGCAATAAGTAAAAAAAAGTTGTTTGACAAAATGGCGACTGTTTAAAAAAAAAAAAAGATTTTTTTTACCTTTTTTTTTCTCGTATTTTTTAAAAATAGTAAAAAATGAAACTCGAGAGAGGTCTATAAAAAAGATTCTCTGAAATTTTTAAATAAATCAGTCTAGTAGAACTCGAAAAATCGTGGGTATCGTATTGAAAAAGTCTGGTCTGAAAAAAACGCATTTAAAGTTTCGCGTAAAGTCTTTTGTTCGATTAGACCCAACCGAACCAGTTTGGAGGCCGGGCCAGTAAAATGTCTATATTTCGGAAAAAAATTTAAATTTTCAAAAATCCTCTGGTAGACATAATCTTCAAAAGTTAAACTTTGAAAATATGAAAAAAAAATCGATTTTTTTGAAATTCTACATTGGAATACCCCCTTAAGGACCATGCTATTGCATTTAATGTATACCCAGGACCGTAGAAACAAAACCGGGGCATATGAATATTTTTTGTTGATGTTACATGTGCTAGAGTACATATGAATATAAAACCTCGGGTAAAGCATCCTGAAGAGGCTGAGGCTGAGCTCAAAAATTTAATTTTTCAATTGATGATGACCGCTGAAAAGCATAATTTTAAATTCTAACAATACAAGCCACTATTCTTATGAAATATAATAATTCATAATGCGTACTATTGTAGTAAATTGTTGAAGAAAAAAATTCGGAAAAAATTGTTGTAAAGCACTGACTCCTCTGAGAATTCAAACCCCGATTCTATGTATACCATAGCCACAGCAACGAGCAGTTGGATCTTCTAGTAAATCTATATATTTCCAATGAAACTAATGTTATACCTTCCTGGTATCATCGTTTTAGGTTTAAGTACATATCTCGCTGCTGAGATTTTTCAATTACTAAACAGTATATAACTGAGTGCTTTTCTTCGTTTTTGTAATTAAATTTTTCCAGACTACTTAGGTAATTGTTTTCCGTTCGCATGTTAGGAGTGTACAACATTTTAATTTTCATACGCAAAAACATAAATATTTTTAAGTTTTGTCGATACTACAGTTACATTAAGTACTTGTAAATTGATAACAAATATTGAACTTATGCAAATAGTGCGGTTGAAAGTACAGATATACTTCCAGAAAAACATGCAAATAAATATTTAAACAAAACAAAATCTTCACTAAATATATAGTAGAAAGTTAACCAAGATTGGTGTAGTTATTTGTATATTCGTATATAACTGTTATTTAATCAAATTGCCTTTTATTATGAAATTGAGCTCCCATTTTTATGTCTGTCCTTGCAAGCGATTACTTAAAAGTTAGTTACACAGCTAAAACTGGGATATATTGATAAAACTTAGTATATGCATTTTTTTAATTCTTAAAAGGTTGGTATTACAAATAGGAAAATCGATCTATTTTCACGCCTACAAAATAACGTTAATCGAAACAAGTAAGGAAGGGCTAAGTTCGGGTGTAACGGTGCATTTTTTATTATTGCAACTTGCAAGGATCAAAGCCGGCTAAAAACCTTCAGGTGTTAAGAAAACTTTATATTAAATGTTGCGAAAGAATATTACATTAATTATTCCACCAAATTGTGAATGGATAACAATCAAATTTGTATCTTATTAACTTACATTCTTTAATGTACAATATATCACATACAATCACTAATATATAAGGTGTAAAGTAAATGTTTGGAAATATTAATATTAGTTCTATCTGGGCTAGAGCATGTTTTCACCCAATTTTACCCATTTTAAGCACAAAGATACATTATTATTAAAGAAATATAATTTTTAAATTTCCATAAATAACTCACATTTTGACCGATATACGCGTAGAAAAGTCAGCCAGAAACTCGACAATTCTATTAGGTATATGGGGACTAAGGGAAAGGATTCTTTTCGAACTTTTGCAATGTATCTCAAAGATTGACCAATATTTTCGATAAAAAGTTCGGAATAGGAACTAGGGTCCACATATTCGGTACCTAGGGGCTTGAATAGTTTTTGTTCGATTAGAACAATTTTTGGTCAGAAATGGCTCACTTTAAAGGCCCTATTCGTGCATGCGGAATTTAAAATTGTGGCATATGGGAAATAGGCGTGGTTGCAGCCCAATTGACCCACTGTAACATAAAAGTTTCAGTATAATATTACCTACCAAATTTGGTTGAAATCGGTCAAGTTGATATGGGTTTTCATCTAAAGGTAGACGGTGCCACGCCCATTGTCCAATTTTCCGATAATGCTTAATCTTACCATTCTATGTGTAAAATTTAAAGTCTCTGGCTAGTTTATTTAATGAGTTATCGTACTTTTAGTATTTTTTAACGAAAACGTTTTAAGGGGAGTGTGCGGGGTTATCATCCATTTTCACCTATCAGCTTTACTACCTTCACATCTTTAGTGGTTTAGGAGATATAAACCTTTTAGAGGGCGGGACGCCTACTTTTTCAAATTTTTTAAACTGTAGGTGCCGCTTCTTAATGCGATTCTTCGTACCAAATGACAGCCTTATATCTTGTTTTGGAGGCAATTTATTGGTTTTCGATTAATTGCGTTTTGTGGGCGTGGCAATGATCCGATTGCGTCCATCTGCAGTACCAACCATCTTATGATGCCAAGAAACATGTGAACCAATTTTTATCAAGATATCTCAATTTTTTCTTAAGTTACAGCTTGCACAGACGAACGAACATACGGACGGACAAACAGTCACCCGGATTTCAACACGTCTCTATCCGGATCATTTATATATCTATTTATATTACCCTATATCTAACTCGATTAGTTTTAGGTGATACAAACAACCGTTAGGTGAACAAAATTTGTATACTCTGTAGCAACATGTTGGAAGAATAAAAAATATAAAATACATTAGCTAGGGCATAAAACTTTAATTTGAATTTTAACGAAATCTGACTTCAGGCATGGTTACATTCTCTTCCTCCTTCTTAGCTCTTCTTTACTTGTTAAAGTATACTTTAAATATAACCATTCATTCTATTTTGCAAAAAGTTTAAAGAAATGCTGACATGGTGACAGTTCTTATTCGCTCTGATTACATTATGCAAAAACTCAGGGTCTTACCGTAAATTTTAACCAGAATGAACCTCAGGTTTTGATTAATAATATGATCACTGATCCATAGATGTTATAGTATTATAATTCCTACTGTTAATATTTATGCACACAAGTTTTTATGTACAAATACAAATGTATGTATGTACATTAAATCGAAAAATTACTTATTTATATAATACACCGAGGAGATAAACGGATTTTGCTGATAAACATATGTACATATGTATGACTATTAATTGAGCCGTGAATGTATTACTATATTATGTGTCTGCATGCATCAGACGTGTGCCGCGTGCATTTGTCAATTAATTTCATAACTTTTGATAAAGCAAACTCAAAATATATGATTGTCAAAATAAACACAATAAATACAGCTACAACGTCGCTGTATATGTATGTTATATATATATATATATTATATATAGCTTTGACTACGTGCATTAGTTGTCATTTACACTTAGCTTGAATTTGTCCATAATAAAAAGTTCTACTCTCTTTTTCTTGTATTCTATCTTTCAAGGTTAAAACGGTTTATCTTGATTGTTCAGATCGGGCCACTATAACATATATGTAGCTGTCATACGAACTGATCCATCAAAGTCCAGTTTTCATATGGAATATATTGTATTATCAATAGCTAAGCTTTTAGAGCAGGCTTGTCGATTTATATAGTATATGTAGATATAAATATTTGTATTTGTAGTAACATAACAAGAATAGCAAGATTCTACTATTCTATTTGACCTTAAATACAGTTCATCTTATAAATCTTTCATATCGATAAAGAGAGCAAAAAATATATAAATTTCCGTTCCCAAAAGTTGAAGACGTAACCAGTTACTTCCGGATTTACGTCCGCTCCTTGGTACTCACTTTAGCAGCATTTTACAAAACCATTTTTGGAAACTTATTTGATGTTGCAACAACATGAAATATAAATTGTTGGATCTTGACGAGCATAAATTGCGAAATATCATTTTATCCTGTGTTCCAAAAAAAGACAAACTACTCACCTAGAAAAACAAAAATCAAATGTTATATTCTTCCTTATATTGGTTTCTTATTGGTTTAAAATATTCAATACTTCAATTTAAATGTGAATGGTTCTGCCAAGCTTATTTAAATGTGTTATGAATTCACAAAATCCAATTATTCCTTATCCACATAAAATAACAAACATCTGTTTTCATTGAATTGACTCGTTCCCGACAGGACTTTGGCGTTGCCAGCAAATGTGATATTTATTATTCACAATTATTTCTTTGCTGATTTCTGGTAAGTAGCAATTCAATCAAATATTTCAACAAATTGTATTCTAAAAATTTAATAAATATTGGATTTTGCTTATTTGATTACAATTTCGGTATAAAGTGATGTTGGTAATAAACTGAATTTCGCATCTTAGTTATCCGTATTACCCCATTTTGGGTTATTAAAAATTGTCATCCCGTAATCATAATTATATTCAGATAAAACAGAATACAAGGCAATAATTTATTTTTAACAGTTTCCAAGCATTAAGTAGGTTCTAAGCTTTTAAAACTTGTTGTGGAAGTGCTTACACATATTAGTTTTCAAATGTTATAAATGACATTATTTAACGTTCTTATGCGTAATTAATTTTGCAAATGCACCTAGTTTTTGCAGTCTGTGGTAGGATTTTCACATGTATCATCGTAATTGTCCAGTAACAGATGATTTATTGAATTGCTGAATTGGGTAAGTGAGCATGGAACATTGCAGTTGGGTATGTGAATTTCCTTGGGAAATTTGTCTTCGCTGTTATAATAATAAACGATCTGAAAGTAATTAGTATATACATATGTATATATTACGTATATAGGTCACCTAATTCTGTTTTTACATCGAAGATTGGTTCCAGAAAAAAACCTTGTAAAAAAGACATTGATCGTATGCAAAAATTGGTGAATGGTTTCTTATCTTTAAAACTTCTTAAAAATGGTAAAAAGGAAGGATTTTTAAGAACAAGGGTAAATGTATAGAGTCCCTAACTAAGAACGCCACTAAAATGAAATTTGTTTTTTAAATCGTCTTATTTTATTACAAATCCGTGAGCGGAACGTGAATTTTTTCAATTATGTACATACGTACATATTTACAAATATATTTAACTCACTTTGCACATATTTTTCAAGTCATTTAGTTGTTGTTGCTGTAGCGGCAAAATTCTGCAGAATTCAGATCACTTAGCTGTAATTACCAGTTCAGCGAGTTAAACATTTTCTTTTCAATTTCTTTTCACATTCACATTTTCAATTTCTTTTGCGCCGCGATCTGATGGTATGGAAGAATATCGGAGATTGTCGAACTCCTTTTCGCACTGGCGGCCTTCGGGGTGTTCATAATTCAACCACGTCAAACTCCTTTCCGTACTGGCGGCCTTCGGCCGCGCTTCAAAAAAATTTCCCTGGTCGGTCCAACACTGGGGTGTTCATAGTTCTTTTGCACCGAGCTCCTTTCAGCAGCGGAAGAAAAATAATTAATTTTAATATATCAAATTTTTGTATTTTTAATGCATATGTGTTAAAAAAATTAAAAAAACTTTTTTTTTGGGGGGTTTTGTTTTTGAAAAAACAAAATATGTTGAAAAAATTCAATTTGCGCTCACGGATTTGTAATATTCATGTCAAAATAAGATGATTTAAAAAAAAAATCCTTTTTGAGGCCTCGTTAGTTGGCGGACCCAAACTATACATTTACCAAAAAAAGATATGCACTCTAAGCAAATATGTCTTTAAAACATATTTTTACCAAGTACTTCTGATTGCATTGATAGTTCACAAAATATAACCACATTTTAAATTTGCTAATATGTACAAAAAGGAAATTACCCTAATTTATTTTATTTACAATTTCTCAGACCAGTAAACTTACTTGCATCTAAAAGAGAATTCTTGTAAATTTGTAATATGAATACATTTCGGTAACATTAAATCTGACAAATAAAATTTTAGCCCAAATGCTGAATGGAATAAAATCGTGAAAACATTTTTTTGTTTTCGAGCGGTATTAATCAAAACCGAGTAAAAACAGAATTAGGTGTATAAGTATACATATACAATATCATAAAAATTAAGAGCAAAGTGCATAAAATTAATACTTCCGGATTTACCTTTACTTCGAAATCGTCTTTGAACAAAGAGCTGTGATGAAGTTCAAACGATAGTGCAGACGCATAACTTGGTAATATATCTGTTTGGTCCAGTATATTTAAGGTATTCATAATATTTACCAATGTAATATCATGTCCTGAGTATAAGAATATTTTACGATCAGGATTTAAGTTCTTCCTTCGCTTATTCTCCATTTTTTTAATTATTTCCGCTAAAAACGCTCCACCCTTCACTTTTTTCATTAAATTCGATTCTGTATAAAGTGAGTAACTACGAGCGGCTAATGACTCCAATTTGTCAGGATAGATATTCTCTGTCCAATCAGGTAATACCAGTCCTGCCTCAGCTTCTACTTTCAAAGTTGTATACAACATTTCAACATCAATTAGCGTAGATATATTCTGTATAAGAAAAAAATGGTTTCAAGTTTATGCTCACACATACAACTAGGTATATTTTATTCAGATTAATTTTGAGGATGTAAGGAAGGTCCCTCCGCGGCCTTCACAGACCTGACCTCGGATCAACGCGGACTATGATTTCAGAAGTGTTTTTGGATTTGGTTGAAGCCTGGGCTGGTGGTCGATTTATTCCGTCACCTGAGTATGCGGGAGTGACATCCTGCAGAATTGGCTGACGGGATAATGTCAAGATCGCCACCGTCCCGTTAAAACCATGGCAGGGCTCGGAGTACGTTCCTCTCCCGTCATCATTCAGTTGATGTGGTAGGTATAGGTTGGGAGAACTGCCTTATTGCGCTGGTCGGCTCTGAACGAATTGTGTACGTCAACTCTCGCCTTGGCCTCCCAACAGAGATAATATTAGAACCAATAAAGGCGACTACCATCCGGGAGTTGGATAGGGGCTCTGAGTGAGGACCCAGCAGACATGAGTAACTTAAATAAAATTACTGGAACGGATGTGGTTGGAAGTAGGTCGGAATCGACCTTAAACTCGGACAGTGTCCGAATGACGGAATCGTCCTCCACGAAACGGCAGCGTGAAAACCTCCCTTTAAAAGCGCGGCTACCGGCTAGGGATGGAAAGTCAGCCAGCAGAAGGCTGCCGGCTGGATACAATGTTAAAAGCAACGGTGGAAAACAGACGACGGCAGTTAGGAAGTTGAAGTCGGACCGCGTATTGCAGAAAAAATAATAGCTCGTGGCAGGCTGTTCAGCAATCTAAGCAGCATGCCAGCACACTTGAGTGGGCTAGAAGAGTGCTTAGCGTCGTCGAGGATGGAGGATTAGTGGGAGGCACCATATCGGCAGTACTGATTCTCCTGAACAAGGAGTGCAACGGTCCTTTTACCGACGCAAGGGGTGCCATCAGCTATGGCTTTGAGATGTTGGATGTAGACTTGTCCCCTTCGAACGCAGCGAGTGATGGGAGCAGATCGTCGACCGACGCCTTCAATCTCGAGCGGTTATTAGAAGAGGTCTGAGTCGAGAGTTTTGCAGTGCGAGTGCGCACTCCTGGAAAAATGTCTGGAGGATGGGGATTCTTCCAGCACGCGAAGGCGGCATTTGCCAAGCTTTTGCTTCAGCACGAACGGAGGACGAATGAGTACAGGTAGAATCAGAGCATGTCTGCTGGTCCGAAACGAACTAAATGCTTTCCTCTTACCTAATTTCAGCAACGAGGACGTTTTGACTGGCGGACCTAATATAGGCATCAAGGGATATTAGTTTTAATCTAGACAGAGCAGGACCGATCAGAGAACCGCATAGAAACTTTCGAAGCACGGACCGTTGCGCCAGGTCGACGCTCAAGGCTATCTACTAGTGCGATCGACGAGTGCGTCGAGGTTTTCAGTTCTGTATGTAGGTCTGTCATGATAAGCTCTTGTGCTCTGAAAACTCAGAAAGGAAAGTTGAAACCTCCTTGGCGAACACCACACTTATCGAAAATCAGATATTCAAGCATAAGAATGTTTAATTAGGTCCATAAAGGCGGATTTAGTGCATATTGGTCACTGTATAAAGCGGGTCTTGCTATATATAAGGCTGAGATTAGAAAGACCAAAATGTATTCGAGAAGAGCATTCTGCAGCGTAAAGAGCTGTCACGAAACCTCTAGGTTTAGGCGTATTCTCTCAAAGAACCCTACCCCATTGGGGTATCTGAGAGATGGGTCTGGAAACTGGGCTGTGAGTAGTGAGGAGTCGCTACGGCTAATCCTGGACGCTAACTTTCCGCTAAACCTATCTATGGAAGAAGTACCTCTTGGTGAACCTCAAGAAGACTATACAGCCTTCTCAGGTTTTCTGGACGAGCGTCGTCTCATGTGGGCTAAGAAATCTTTTAAACTGTTGTAAGTCTCCGGGACCTGACGCATTATACTTTCCCAGCTTCAGCGTGCAACAAGGGTATTATGCAGTTGGTTGACCCCCATCTACGGGAACTGCGTCAGATTAGGTCACATTCCTGCGGCTTTGAGGCAGGTTAGAGTAGCGTTCGTCCCGAAGGCTAGTAAAAGCTCTCATCTCACTGCCAAGGACTTTAGGACTAACAGTCTCTCCTCGTTTGTATTGAAAACTCCAAAGAGACCCATGTACTTGTACATTAGAGGCCGAATTCCAAGGAACGGGCTGTTAAGTGCTTAGCATGCCTACAGCAAAGGTAGGTCGGTCGACCCTGCCTTATACATAAAGACAGGAGTGCAGCCGGCTTTTTCACGGATGGATCGAGGCTATGAAGGAAAGTAGGTGGTGGAGTCTTCTATCGGGAGTTTTCAATCAACTCTAGTTTTAGACTACCAGACCATTGTAGCGTCTTTCAAGCGGAGCTTTCAGCTTTCTTCAGAGAGGTATGCATTCACTCTTACAGCCGAGCGGCCATACTGGCCTTAAGTTTGCTGGCGGTGTGCTTAAAACTAGTCAAGAAGTGCATGACCATTACCAATAGCTTCATGCTTCTTCCATATTAGACTCGCATCGGTGCCCGGTCACAGCGGAATCGCTGGACACTACAAAGCCGATGAGCTGGCCAGGGAGGGCACCTTTCCTCAACTTCATCCGTTTGCAGTCGAGTCGGTTATCCATTGTCTGGCGTTTTACCTTTGGATCTCCAGTGATTTCAGCAGGTGGTGGTCAACGACCAGAACTTGTGCAACTGCGAGATCCTTCTGGCTCAGAGGGAAGCGTGTGAGGTCATTCGAACTATTGGCTCTTAGTAAAGTCAATCTCACTATAATTATAGCTGTTCTGACTAGACACTGTCCAATAGCTATACACGCCGTGCGATTAAATATTCTGTCGGGCGCTCTTTGCCAAAGCTGTAAGCACAAAACGTTCCATTGATCGATGAGGATTTAGTGATCCAAATTTAAGAGGATTAACCTTACGACCCAATCTAACCTTACCTAAATAATTGATTTTAGGAAATAGCCTCTTTTTTTGCCTTTATACTAAAAAGTTGTTTTAATTACTTGAATTTTTAGAGTTATAAAAATGTTATATCACCTTACATATGTATGTAGTAGTAGTGGTGGTCATGCTGTTTTTCCAGTCATGAAGAGTTATAGTTAGAGAAGAGAAAGGTCAAATGAATAAACTACTCATATACATATGTAGGTTGTATCAGGTCAATATATTAACAATGTACATAACATATGTTGCTGCCGCTACAGCAACAACAACGTTACGTTATTTGATTTTGGAATATCGATATGCATACATATGTATCAGCCGAAATGGGCGTAGACGACATACATACATACATATGGTATGGTTTTGCGGGTATACGAGCATTTAAACTCTAGACATAGTCTAATGTACGTAACGAAGTCGTTCGGGCAGCTGAAGATATCTTGGTTGTTTAAGTGAGTTGCCCAATGCTTAAGTAGAGAATATTTACCTGACAAATGTATTGCTCAAATATTACTTGTTCACTATATACATATACACCAAATGATTTTATAATACTCACCTTGCCTGAGTGTTTCGTTAGCAATTTGAGTAATTCTGCATTTTCTTCGTTTAATTGTCGTATCTCTGGTGGTGGATTCTTATACAATTTCTGCAGAATTGTGTCATATTTCAAACACGGTTTCTTTTGCGCCAAGAGCTAAATAACACACGAGAAATCACTTAATGCAATTAGAATATTACAGAGAAATTTTAAAAACTTAACTTGTAAAAAATCAATATGAAGAATGCATATCACGCTTTAACACAATTCTTATATGTACCTATGTTAGTATGAAAATGATTTCAAACCAAGAAAAAACATTAACATCGGTTGCGATGGGTATTCCTTTCACAAATAAAAAAGTTTCCATGCAATCACTTTATTCCGAACGTTCAGTTTGTTCAGCTTTATGCTAAAGTTTTCCTTCCGGCTGTTCAGAGTATAGAAGACTATAACCCAACAGAAATGAACGGATAATTCGCCTATTTCGAGAACTTAAATGTTACAAAATAAGTTATTCATGACTATATTTTAGCCTAAGCCACTCAGTGCATTCAGGGTTATTTAAAACGTGATCTTCGTTGAAAAATGTATGATCTGTAGAACATTATATAAAACATACCGTATCCTCATTTCGTGGTATAACATTTACCGCTGCTGGCTGCCATGGGATTGGCTAAAAAATTTTGTAATATAAAAAAGTATGCAGCCAATATAACAAATATGTATGATTATACTCACCAAAATCTTGTTGTGGTCAAGTGGTGGCATGAAACCTGCCAAGACACTTTGTGCGCTCATAATACAGCGTTCAGCTGCCGAACTTAAAGCGAGTACCTGTTGCTGCGTATAAATACCGTTTGGCGGCAGTAAACGATAGTAACGCATGCGTAAATTTTTACCCAAATTATAAGCCTGTTGACTGCCTTTCTAAAATAGATTAAAACTATAATTACTTAGTAGATATCAATTTTTAAATATATCTCTGTTCAATATTTGATTACCTGTGTAAGGGCTCCCAGACCACCCGGCCATTCATGTAGCGCATGTGGGTCAGTGGGGTAAAAGGAACTAGGTGTCTTCTCACCATGCCGAAAAACCTATAAATATTTTTACGTGATGTAATTTATCATTTTATTATTTACTTCTTCTTTAATTTTTTTGTGAAAGAAGGAGTATAATTGCTGACATGCTTTTATTTAATTTCTCTTATCTGCGTTATCTAAATTCTATTAAGATAAACTATCACAATTCCTAATTACATCTACATAAGAAGTTATTTGGCAATCAAATATTTTTGTACCAAAATTGTTAAATACTTACAATCGAGATCATTCGTAGGTTTCTTAGGCCCTGTTCATCGTTATTGTCGCCAAAAACGAAATAGGCCATCATAACGGTGCATAGTGCACCACCCAGAATAATAACCGATATCTTCGTGCTTCGCCTGGACTGGCAATCAAGATTGACCATCTTGGCGTATGAGTGATGTTTTTTGTTTCACCTCACTAATATTGCGATTTATTTCTAAACAATTTGAGTTTTTCGGTACAACTTTTTATACAATTGCACTAGTTTTCAATATTCTTATGCATAATAGCATGCAATCTTTCATAATACATTTAGCAATACTTATGGGAAAATCCAAGAATAATAAAACATTTTATTATTAGTATAAAATGTATCTGCATGCTACTAGCGCTTACTTAATAATAGCTATTTTACTTCTATACGAATTGTTTGTCGGATTTGTATTTCTCATCCCAACAGCAAGCAAGTGACTGAAGTGAGTTATGTACATATGCACGGAGTGAGCACAACAGAGAAAAATTTAGCGACTAGACGCTATGTTTGTATATACTTATAATTAAAAATAGAAACATTGTAAACGTGAGTTTTGTAGGTTGTGAGTATCGTCTAGATACTCTTCATATGGCTCGTTATTTCCGATTGAGTGTATGCACGGTTGAATATACCTACATACAGATGCATCTGTTCTCATACCCCAAAGGAAATATCTGACCATATGTGTTACAGATGTAAAACTAGTTTCGATGTTCAATAATTAAAGGGTTAGACCAATATTGAGCCCAAAAAAAAAGGCCTAACGTTGACACTTTATTCTGTAAGTAAGAATAGAATCTCTCAATAGAATCTCGATGACTGAGTGTGTTTTGAGAAACTAGTGCTATCTGAAACAAAATAAGCATTATACTTGTAGTTTTGTTCACCTAACGATTGTTTGTAACAACTAAAACTAATCGAAATTGATATGAAGGTATGTATATATGTATAAGTGATCAGGATGACAAGATGAGTTGAGTTCCGTGCAAGCGATAACTTTAGCAAAAAATGAGGTATCTTGGTGAAACTTGGTACACATGTACATATGTTTCTTGGCAATCTAAGAGAGGTTAGTAGTGCATATGGGCGGTAACGGACCATTACCACGCCAACAAAATGACGTTGACCGATAACCTATAAAGTGCTATAACTAAAATAGATGAGATACAATATAGATACAAAACTTTAATTTGCCACAATGAATCTTATTAAAGAGTGGCATCTGTGGTTTGTAAATTTTTATAAAATGGGCGCGGCTCAGCATTTTAATAGGTTGAAGCCTTTACAGGACTTCTTCAAACACTGTGAAAATAGGTGAAATCAGATGAATGTTATATTGAAAACTACCAGAAGTACGATAGCTCAATATGTAAATGCGTCAGAGCATTAAATTTTACACACAAGATGGTACGAAAGCGCTGCAAGGAAGCCGGTGTAAAAATGGGATAATGGACACGTAGCACCACCCACCTATGGGTAAAATCCCATATCTCAGGAACTACTGGACCGATTTTAACCAAATTTTGTAGATTACTTTATTTTGACTTTTTTATTTCACGTTGAAAAATTTTGTACAAATAGGTTATTTTAGTTATGCGCTCTAGTGTAAAAATTGCCACAACCGGGCCATAATTTTTCAAGCCCCGGATATCGAAAATGTGGACGTAACTATGGCTAACTTTTTACGGAAAATAGCGTTCAATCTGTGAGATACAACAATGAGATACGCAGAACGACTTTTCCTCTATTCTGATGCGAAAAAGATTAAAATCGGGTTGAAGCTTTCCATATCCCTCATATACCTAATATACGAATTCTCAAAGTTCCAGTTGACTTTAGACCATATACAGGTTGGTTGTAAATTTTCTGCGCTCGAAATGAAAAAACACTGTTTTTGATACGTAATATATTTTTTATTTAATATAATCTCCCTTAACTTCATTACCCGTCTACGGCTGTAATAGCTTCTTTATTCGACAAAAAACGAATGCTTAAAACGCTCCAAATTATGCTGAGAAATTTGTTTTCGATTCAGTTTTTGTTGAATTGTTAACATGTGCGGCACTAACTTTCCAAACAGCTTTTCATATGTAATTCTCCATGTAAAATATAAGGTACTCGTTTGTCTGAGATGCCTATGCATGAGCAATTTCAAGCTTGGTCAAACTTGAATCTTCACTAACAATATTATGAACTTGTTCATTGATTTCTGATGTGGTTGCGGTTTTTGGACGTCCTTCACGTGGATCGTCTTCAAGACTAGTACGATCACATTTAAATTCATCAGCCCAAAATTTAACGATGCGTTTTGAAGGTGAATACTCCTTATACACTTCTAACAATTGTACATACATTTCCTTTTCTTTTAAACCTTTCCTCTTGTTCCAGTAACCGACTCATTTGAATTAAAATGTATTAGAGTCTATTAACATAGCTTTATTTATTTAACCCTATCTTATATCTTATATACCACCCCATTCGGACTTATCTGTACACATGCAGCATGCTTCTATAATAAATAGTGCTACTTCGATGACAAATAATGCAGATCCAATAATCGTATTACGAGATTTCAATTTACTGGGTCGCTTTCGATGACTATATCGTACCGATTTGCAATCGGTCATGTTTTCATGAGTTTTTCGAAAAAATGTCCGAGTTGGGTCTGAGCCAAATTAATTTGATTCCGAAAAAATTTGGTAAATGCTTAGATTTAGTATACGTTGATACCTCTTCAAAGTGTTCCGTTATTCAGAGTAATCTCTTGTTCTACCAGGGAACTCGTATCATCCTGCTTTGGAAATATCTGTCGAAATCATGAGCAATTATTACGAAATTATTTGAAAAGTATGTTCCAATAGTAATTGTTAATAAAAGTGAAAGTAGAAGTCCGTGGTTTTCGAAAGGGTTATATGAATTGAAAAACAGAAAAACTGGAGTGTTTAAACTTTCTAAAAAAAACCGGTTCACTTGTCGACTATTCTAAATATTCTGTATTGCGTCGAGAATATTTTGACCTAAACAAAAAATGTTATAATAATTACTTAAATCAAGTAAAAATAATATTATAAGTAATCCAAAATTGTTTTATGATTTCGTCAACTCCAAACGCAGGATTTCCAAATTTCCGTCCGCGATGAAATACAAATCTATCATTTCAAGTGACAATGGTAATATATCCAATATGTTTGCAGAATTTTTCAAGTCAAACTACCGTAATAATTCTTCCAAAACTTTTTCTTATCAGCACATGCTGTGTTCGAATACTTTAATTAACGCTCCAATTATTTCTGAAGAAGACGTCCTACTTAATTTAAATAAGTTAAAATCATCTTTTAGTTACGGCTCAGACATGATACCCTCATGCTTCCTAAAAAATAGTGCCAAATATATTTACTTGCCTTTGACAAACAGTCATTTATAATTCCTTTGCATAAAAGTGGATTTAGATCCAACATTGAAAACTATAGAGGTATCGCAAAACTATCAGTTATACCTAAACTTTTTGAAGCTATCATCACTGACCATATAACCTTTTCGATTTCTCCTTTAATTTCCTCATCTCAGCATGGATTTCGTAAAGGGAAATCGACTCTAACAAACTTGCTTGAATTTGTGAACCATGTACCATTGGGTTTTATTGAACATAATTATACGGATGTTATATACACAGACTTTAGCAAAGCTTTCGATAATGTAAATTTCTCGATTCTCATACATACACTTGATCTGCTGGGCTTTCAGCCAAAATTTCTTCAATGGCTAGCTTCCCATCTTTATAATAGAACACAACGATTGATATTTGAAGATACACAATTAATGTTTCTTCAGGTCCACAAGGTAGTCATCTTGGCCCGATTCTGTTCTTGTTGTTTATTAACGATATCTCTTCAATTTTATTATACGCTGACGATTTAAAGCTTTTTAAATCATCGACTTCAACTGAGGAAAAGTGTATGTTGCGAACTTAAGCAATATGGTTGCATGGTGTTATAGAAATGATTTGCCATTGAATCTCAATAAATGTAAGACGATGTGCTTTTCCCGTAGATCTATGCACCCCTCTTCTTATGTAATAATACACCATATTCTGGAGCAAGTCTTTAGTCTTCATATTAGTCTTCATATTGATACCATGGTCTTAAAAGCAAAAGCTGTACTCAGTTTTGTTAAACGTTGGTCTAAAGAATTTAGAGATCCGTATATTACTAAAACACTTTATACAACTTTGGTTAGACATATATTTGAATATGGCTCTGTTGTATGGAACCCTAACTACCAAATCCATTCTGACAAGTTAGAGTCTGTTCAAAAACAATTTTTACTTTCCGCCTTAGCGCATTTCCGATGGGATTCTAGGGTAAGTCTACCTCCATACACTAGTCGTTTAAAACTTATAAATATACCTACACTTTCTAGCCGTAGGAAAATGCTTGGCATAATATTCTTAGTGAAAATTTTGAATGGAATAGTTTGCAGTTCTTTTCTCCTGTCTGAAACTAAATTTAATATTCCGGTCCGCCTTTCAAGGCAGTTTAGACTTTTACTGTTAAAATCCTGTGGATAAAATTTAGAACTAAACGAACCATTCCGCCGTATGTGTCATGATTTTAATTCTCATTCAAAAGTAAAAAGACTTTATTGTTTTCTCTTAATGAATGAAAATGTAACAATTTATTATATTGTAACTATAAATCTTAGCTGTTGAAATTTTTGTTTCTGTAGCTGAGCAGTTTTAGATCTCAACACTTAAAAACTCTCTTGCCTTTTCTGACTCGGCTAATTCCGCACGTATTCGGACTGCGCCCCCCGCGTCGGTTGGGCGGGAAAAGAGTAATCGTTGGGTTATTATTAAAACAAAGAATCTAATCACTGCGCGGTATTTAATTCAAATGGCTTGTAAACAAAGAATTAATTGACAGAATGACTTGTAACTTTGCATGTGTTCTCACGACAGATGTACCAACTTGAGTAAAAAAAAATGTGGAGCTAGTAGTGCTATTTCTTAGGAAAAGCAGAAACTTTACAACCAAACTGTATATCGGTCAATATGTGAGGTATCTTAATAAAATTCAGATAGAATCTATTTCTGGTAGTTATATGTCGTAATACAAAAACTGTATAAAATTGGGTCAATATATCCCCAGGGACCCATATACCATATAAGAATTTCAAACTCCCGGTTTGCTTTAATCTGCATATACCGATCAATATGTAAGCTATCTTAACAAATGTACGTAAAAGTATAACATTAGATATATTGTAGTATAATGCCTAAAATATGTGAAATTGGTTCACGAGATATATCAGCTTGAATTTACTACATATAATGACTTTCGTTATTCTCGCAGACTCTATACCGAAAAGATCGGCCATTGTGTGAGATATCTGCCTAAAACTAAGTGAAAACATGTTCTCGAGTATACTTGTGTAATGCTAAAAGTTAAAACAATCTATTCGACTTTCCAATACCCCCAATATCCGCGCCATAGTGCTTTCCATGCATATGGACTTTCCATCTGACTCTAAACCGCTTACGTTGGTCAAAATGTATGATATTTTACTGTAATTGAGTTGAGTTCTCAACCATAATGTTGTTTAGTGGTGATTATAAATGAAATTCGTATGGTCCTTGCCTTAAAAAAAAAAAAATTATATTAAAAACACCTTCAAATGAGATATGTATGTGATATACTCGACCGAAGAGGTTAAATTTAATATACTCAGTTGATGTGGAAAACGTTAACCAGAGAATCAGAAATCAATATATTCAGGATATGAGGTTTAGACCAAGGTATAAGACTTCTTCATATAATTACACTAAAATATCACACATTCTGACCAACCTGAACACTTAAAAGACTGGTGGAAAGACGGATATCATTTTTTTGGTATTCTCATATTGGCGATAGAGAAATGGTCGGGCTGATTGCATTAATTTGGACATTGCTCAGGTATACTCGAGAACATATTTGAAAGCAATTTTATATATAACAAAGATGTTATATGGGAAATAGGCGTGGTTGTAATCCGATTTCGCCCATTTTTGTATTATAACATAGAAATATGAGAAGAATATTATGTACCGAATTTGGTTGAAATCGGTTAAGCAGATCCCAAGATATGGGTTTTCACCTAAAAGTGGGCGGTTCCTATAAAATATTCTTATACCATCCCAGAAATAAAATTTAATGTCTCTGGCTTGTTTATTGCTTGATTTATCGCGCTGTTAGTAGTTTTTAACAGTACCGTTATATGGGGAGTGGGCGGGGTTGTCACCTGATTTTACCCCTTTTCAAAACGTCGATAGAGATGCTAAAACCATTTGTTCCCACTGAATTTTGTTATTATAGCTTCAATGATATAGGAGACATGCACATTAAACTTACTAGGAGGCGGGACCACACCCACTTTAAACAAAAAATTTAAATTGCAGATGCCCCTCCCTAATGTGATCCTGTATACCAAATAAGAGTCTTGTATCTTGTTGTGGAGCTTAGTTATGGCAATTTATTTGTTTTTGATTAATGGCGTTTTGTGGGCGTGGCAGTGGTCCGATTACGCCCATCTACAATACCAACCGTCTCACGGTACCAAGAAACATGTGTACCAAGTTTCATAAAGATATCTCAATTTTTACTCAAGTTACAGCTAACTCGATTAGTTTTAGGTGATACAAACAACCGTTAGGTGAACAAAACTATTATACTCTGTAGCAACAAGTTGGGAGAGTATAAAAAACGGCAAAAACCTGTTACAATAACGAAAATCATTATATGCAGTATATGGGAATTGGGGGTAGTATTGACCCGATTTTATAAACTTTTGCCAATACCACATACTATTAACATGCCATAGCTAATAAAATGCTTTCAGGGTTTCATTAAGGTACCTCACATACCATCACCAATTATATGGTGTAAAGTCAGCCGGATGTTCGATTAGTAGTTATATGGGGCAAGGTCAAGTTTTCGCAGAATTTTATCCATTTTAGGTAAAAAGATACATTGTTATTAATAAAACAAGCTCTCTCGTTTTCAGTAAGATAACTAACATTGGCCAACAATACGGTATAAAGTCTCCCGGTCCCGGTTGACCCATTTTTGACATTCAGAGATATCTATTATCAGAAAATTATCCTTTCTGAATTTCATTTATATATTATACTAAGCGACCTCCGCTGCGCTCCGAGACGCTCGCTTCGCTCGCTCGCCTACGTCCGCCCCCCGCCGAGCGCGAGCTAGCTCGCTCTTATGTTAGTTGATTCTCGACAGCAGCAGAAAACTTTTATATATAATAGAGAGATGTCACACATTGACCGGTAAAGAGTCACGGGGGTCCACATATTCGGTACCTAGGGCCTTGAACAGCTTCGGTTGGATTTGGACAATTTTTGGTCATAAGGTGTTATGCTTTAAAGGCATTATTCGTGCAAAGCTATAGTTATTAATTTATCGCGCTTTTAGTAGTTTTTAGCAAAACCATTATATGGGGAGTGGGTGGGGTTATCATCCGATTTCACCTAATTTCACACTATCGCAAAAGAGGTTAAAAATGTTTGTCCTGTGCAAATTGAGGTGATATAGCTTTATTGATTTGGAAGATATATATATTAAACTTAATAGGGGGCGGTGCCACGCCCGCTTTTTAAAGATTTTTAAATCACAGCTGCCGCTCTTTAATGTGATGCCTTGTGCCAACTAAGAGTTCTGTATCTTATTTTACAGCGTAGTTATGGCACTTTATACGTTTTCGATTAATCGCGTTTTGTGGGCGTTACAGTAGTCCGATAATGCCCATCACGAACTCGTCCTTACTTTTATGACAATGAACATGTGTACCTAGTTTTATCAATTTATCTTATTTGCACAGATAGATGGACGAACGGACAGATAGATATCAGGATTTCAACTCGTCTCGTTATCCTGATTCTTTATATATATGAATATATCTATATATATATTCTCTAGCAACATGTTGCAAGAGTATAAAAATAAAAATAAAAATAAAAAGAAATAATGGCAAATATGCTATTTTTAGCAGCGAACTTCCCACAAGAATTCATTCATTCAATTCAAAAATTACAGGTAATAACCAATTAGAAAAGTGTATGTTATTACAAAACTCAATTCTAGATAAGTTTCAATTTAATAAAAATCGTTTCGCAATATTCGACAATGAGTACATTCAATAAGATGTTTCCAAAATATACAGACAATGAAACAAATAAGTACAATTTACTTTTTACGCTCATTTCACTCTTAAACTTTAGTTTCTGTATCAGATGGTTCTTCCACAAGATACTCATGCTCAGAGTCTTCGGACTTTTTTAGTGAATTGCTCTCAGTATCAACATCAGAAAATTCGTAACCTTGACAAAAGTCTGTGCTAGATTCCTTTTCCGTGTCTTCAGAATTATTTTCGTTTTCAAGGCATTCACGTTTACGTGGACTCACAGTTTCGCTTTCATCCTCCTCTGTTGCTACATCAAAATAGTTTGGTATGTGGTAAACGATATCCGAGTGGACCATACTATTAGGAAATTGCAACTGATGTTCGAAATCGCTGAGATAATAAACCATACCGTAAGCGTCCACCACATAGGTGGCCGTGTTACAGGCAGCCGTCCACTGAGGCACATATTCGTGGAGATAAGCGCATGTATAGGGTGCGATATTTGGCATCACTTGCGGTATGCAATAACAACCAGGCCGATAATATTCAAATTCGTAGTCTTCAATGCTGGTGCATGGTACAATCGAATGCAAAAGCGCCATCGATATACGATTGGAGTTACGCTTTCTTGACATTTCATCCAATTTTATGATTTAGAAATCTAGGCTTCCAACGGTTCAGGTGACTCTATTGGCTCCAATTGATTGGCGATGTTGATGCAAATGCGTAAGTAAAAAATATGCACTTGAAATTGGCGCATCAAATAGAAATTCAAATAGATTTCCAATATCATCAAGTAAACGATACTAATTATATGTAAGTTTATATAAATACATATATATTTATAAAATAGATATTGGAATACAGTCAAATTATAATTGACAGAGATGAAAAAATTTTGAACTTGATTGCTACAAATTTTGATTTTTAAAAAACACGATGTTGAAACACAATTTATATCAAGTTGATATTCCTCGTAATTTCGTGTTTGTTTCAGTTTAGGATTCTACACAATCAACTTTTTGGTCGAATATTAACTTTCGAACACATTATTAAAAATTTTCGAATACGATTTATTGAAGTACTATCGAGTATTATTCAAGTTAGAAGTTATTTCAGTATAATTTTTATTTTGTATGTCATTAAAGTGAGAAACTAGCTTAGTAGAAATTATATATTTTATTATAGATAAGTAAAACCTACTTTCATTCTTATATATTACCACTTAGTGTATTTAACTGTAATACATAGAATGTTATATTATACTTAATTATTTCGCGAATTATTTACAATATTTACACTACATATCAGGTATGAGCTTGAATGCTTAATTTAATTATTATTCATATTGATTTTTATACAAACTTCAGTTAAATTAATAAGCGTATTTGTCTTAGTTTTAATTATTTTTCATGGAATAAAGCATATTTATAAACTATGAGTTTTAACACCCGGAACATATTTTTCACACTACTACGCTCTCAGCACACAATTATCATCTTCTATGAAGTTTTCGGAATAAGTTTGAGAGTTTCTTTCAATGTCCGTATTGGTTGTGAACCGTTTATAAATCAAATAGCTTAGCCAAAATATCAGTGGTGGCATTGCTAACCCCAGAGGCATTAAAAATAGTAACCAGAATTCACTAGGATCGGTGTAAGCTTCCCCGTTAGCGCTGTAGTCTTCTACATATTCTTGTCGATTAACTTTTAAGTATGCTTCTCGTATTTTATAGCCATGAAAAGTGATAGCGGCACATGCATAGTAACCCTCATCTCTCAGACGCACTCCATTTAATATCAATTTGCTTAGAAACATATCGTCTCCAATGTATTTCTCACCAACTGTATGCAACAGCTCATAGGTATGTCCGTTATAATGGACAATGTGCGCATTAAGATGATTACTGTTGACACCCATATATTTCAAACCATTGGGAAGAGAAGCTGGAATGCGGCGAAACCACTTTATGGTGGGATGCACTTCACTTTGCACACGACACTGAAACACTACTTGGTCATTAATAACAGCCGTCTTATTTAATGGGTATGGATCTACGAATTTGGGTATAGCCGAACTAGAATCTGAAAGGAAAATTACTCATTGAAATTAATTTTTAACTATCTATAAATAGCTTAAGATCGTCTTAGGTAGGTACTCATTTTTGCTCACTTACTTCTGACATCAAGTTGATAAGTACGAACGAATTGAATATCAGGCCCATGCCCAGATTTGTACCTCAGCGGCACAACGGTACATTTATATAAGCCAGAATACTCCTCAGTGACATTGTGCAGCAACAAGTCCGATTGACAAAAGTTTTCTTCACAGGGTAATTGCATCCACTTATAACAAGTTTCGCCGGTGAACGTTTTTTCTCGACACTGTTGTAAAAATATACATTAATTTAAAAGGCAGATTTATATTATATAATGGTTAGTTTTGGTAGCACTTACCTTAAAAAACCAATAGATTTTTCTATCTGCGAGCTGTTCTTCATCCACTAATCCTTGAACACCACAGTGTAATCGAATGTCATAACCAGCCCGCTGATGTATGAATTCAGTAGATTCTTTAAATAATTTAAGAAATCGTTTTGCAACATCGTTATAATGATTTTTAGTGAAAGGACATAAAAAATAACATATTACTATTAAAATTTTGCTTTGACGGCACAATGTATAATAAAGTTTTATATTTATTTATATTGTATATATTGTATGTGTATATATATTTAATCATCTGTATACTGACAATTTTTTTCATATCTATGCTTGAATTAATCAATGTAGCCAAAAAGGTTCACAACTGATATTTAACTCTACTAGGAAAATGTCCACTCGCAAACTTTCTTGCGACTCACATCTACAGTACGCAGTTTTTAAGCATATTGAATTTTGCTAATTTCAATTTTGCTAATTTCAATATGCTTAAAAATAATTTAAAAATTGCGTACTGTAGATGTGCCATTTTTACTACACGTATCCGTACAAAAATATGGACATAGCTTCGGGTAAATATTTCGAATATAATCAGATATCTCTTTAATACTTGTGATTGTTACAAAGCTTTAGTCACGTACCTGTGTAGTCCAAATGTAATCCAAAAACCGCCGTCATTACCACTGACATAAATATCGCGTAGAGTTTTATCAATTTTATAGCAGGACCCATTGCATTACTCTTTTCAGCATTACGAATAACTAAAATGTAATGAGATTTCCTTCTGTGTAGAAAATTTTACACGCAGTTAAAAAGAAATTTGTAAACCTTGTTTCTAAAGTGAATAGCTTGAATGCAAATTTACAATTAATTACATGAAGCTGAAACGCCAAAACTATAACTCATACGTAGTAGTCATACAGAAAACACGCCTCCACAACATTATTACAATACCAAACCCTGCGGGAAATGCCTGCTACCCACTTAACAATTATTCTTGTGCCAGAATACGAACATAACATTATTTTTATTTCTTACTACTTATAAATTTTAAAATGTATATTTTTAAGGACTTACTTACACAAATATAAGTATGAAAGAATTGTTTTTGAGATCCCAAAGTTATAACTATAACCCACAACAAATTATAAACATTCGAGTACATATATAATATGTACGTATGTATGTTTATTAAGCGAGTTGAGAATTAATTATCTCGCTAGAAAATTCAACAATCCGTCTAACACATCTACATATGCGTGCTGTCTATTTATTTAATTATATTTTAAATGTATGGCCAACCAGGGAAACGGAAATAATAATAACGGATATACGAGCCTTGGGTAAAGCCAAGGGAATGTGGAAAATGGTCATTTTGGATATATGACGAATAGCGTAAGTTCGTGACCTATTTCGTCAATTTCAGAGAATGCTTAAGAAAACATTTTTATTTCATTAAGATAATTTACACATTACCGACACATTAAGGTCAAAAATCAACATAATACTACGTACATACAAATGTATTGAGCTAAGGTAATGCCGATTTACCGAACCAGTTTTATCGTTTATATAAAAAATGGAAGAAAGTGCCGTTTTATCAATCAATTTATATGATGGTGAAATGGTTGTGGTGTTTTGCCACTTTTATCTTACCTCAGATCTCACTTAAATATTATCTGGGAAAAAAAACTAGAAAAAACTTTAACTTCGGCTGCCCCGAAGCTATAATGCCCTTCTCAGGTGCATCTCTTTTGCAACTACATAACTTATAAAGTTACCAGCCAACATTTTGCATCCAACGGAATTTTGTTTTGTTTTTTTGATATAAACAACATTTAAGTCGAACTAAGATTACTTAATAAAGAAAAAATATCTGTATCTTGATTTTGATTGAAGATTGTTACATTGCCTTAGAAAATAATCTATGCCAGATTTCGTGAACATATCTTGTCAAATAAAAAACATTTCCAAACAAGGACTTGAATTTGGTCGATCAGTTTGTATGTTAGCTGTCACAAATATTGAAGTGGTTCGATCTAAACAACATGCACCTATAACTAGAATATAGAAGTAATCAAGATAGGTATTTTATGAAAAGTTCTAAGATCGATAATTGTAATTAATGGCAACGAATAAAAGACTATACGAACTTCGCAACCTGCCTAGTATATCAACTAGCTTTTGGACTTACATCCAGCTGTTAGGTAAACAAGACTATTATACTCATTGCAATAAGTAACAATCGTATTAAAACACGCGCGAAACCTATCAGTCGAATTATCATACATACTACAAACCGTTAAGAATTCGATTTACTTATTTAAAAATTGTTTTTCTTTCTTTTGCACACCAATGCTACGTATGCATGTAGCATAGCATAAACATTTTTTTAGCAAATCGCTAAACAAATTGTTTCATAAAGCTTAAATGATGCACATATTTATTTTATACTAGACACTTTGTTTATTTACTCAGCTATTTATGTTTGTTGCTGAAAAAATAAAAACAAACATATTGAGTTAGAATATAATTTTCAAGATTCACATTCGTGTACAGGTAAAAATTGGTATAAAAAAAGGAAATCCAAACTCTGTAATGCTCCCATTAGAAAGAACGGCAGTTTTTGAAATAAGTTTTTTAATAAGATTATCATTTAATTTACGAGAAACTGTAACGCCATTCCTAATATTTTTGGAGTACAAGTATATTTCTCTTTGCCACATTCAAATAGGATTTGATGATTAGGTTATAAATAGGACCATTTCGAGCTGCACCTCTTTAATAATATAATTTCTGCTTATTTTGCACATTAAAATCGCATGGCGAATGTACATCGAGTTTAAACCAAACACTTTGTTTAATTAAGTTAAATAAGTTTCTCTAAACTTGCCACTATGGGAGCCAGTTAAGCAAAACTAAATATAATTTTTTAAGGTATATTTGACTATTCACTTTTAAATCACAAACAAATGCCACTGCATTAATAAAAGATTAAAACTTTATTATGAACAATTTGAAATTAAGTTTCTGCTCAATTCAAACCCTTCCGGGCGATATCAATTTCTATTTATTGAAGTACATAGAAAAGCACTTTATCTCACAATTGCTACACAGTTAATGCGGCGATAAATCAGAAAAATGAAAGTTAAAAAAATTAAGCCTACGAACCCAATCGGTGGCACAGAACATTTAGCGCAAACAGTTTCGGTGCAGAAAGCACTTTATAGCTACCACATATACATATGTACGAGTACGTGTCTACTCACACTTAGGTAAGATGGTTATATTACAATTAAACAAAATAAATAATAAATTGATATTTATGAAGTTGACTGTAACATGAATTTAATAAATGCAACTATGGTAGATAACAGTTTGCAAAATATATATTTACATATGTACAGATATACATATGTTTGAATGCATGTACGAGAAAGTAGTGACTGAGGAAAAACTTATCGTATGCCTTGCTAGGTAGCTGGGGAACTATGCAATGTGACTGGGGTTCATTAACAAAGTAGGGAGTCCGGAGGAAGTACATGCATATAGGTAGGTATATGTATATCTTTTTAGTTGTTATTCTACACGCAAACAAATGTTGAGATTCTGATAGAACAGCAAATAAAGTCGTAATCAGCACATACAGTAGAGTGTCAATAATGGCCTACACAATGAGTATAACATCTGCAACAGCTGCGACAACACTCGATTAGGATTTAAAAGAAATATTTTCAGTGATGTAGCAGCTTTGATACCCTACGCAAAGGGTTTGCTTAGTGTAGTGGTCTGCGATAGGAAAGAGTAAAATTGATAAGTACTGTTTTTCCGTTTAATATTTGAATGTTTGACTCGTATAATATATGACATGCATATATTTCTATATTTTCATATATGTATAATATGTTGTTCGTTATTTGCCAAATTAAAAAATAATAATCTAACGTAAACAAGCGTTTTATTTGCAATTTAAACCGTGCTTAAATCATTTTACCTTGCTCTTGTATTTTTACATTGTGTTTTTTTATCGCTTGCATTAATTTTTTTATCTCCAAAACACATAAGACAAAATCTGTCAAAACAGGATAAAGTATGAAATTTAGCACACTACGAAACGGGCTTGTTAATAAAAAGGCATTACTTTAAAAGTTACAAGCTTATTACTCTCTTAAACAGTCTTTTGTTTGTAGTTATCGCCACTTCCCCAATTTTTCATAAACGTCAGGTCGTGCATTATTACAAATACAATTGTGGACGTCATACGTACATATGTACACGTAAAAATATTCAACCTCATGACTGCCAAAGTTAAGTTATCATGACTATGTACAATGACTATAAGCGATATTTGATGGCTTATCAGTTTATTATCTAGCGAAGCGTTAGCCAACGAAACAATAACAACAAAATGAACGTGGTACAGTGGCTAATGCTAACATTGCAGCAGTGGCAATGGCTCTTATCTAAATAATGAAATTGAACTGTAGCCACGACAATTGCTAAATAACAAATTTAACCAAATTTATTGGAAGTCTTAAAAACTGAGTATTCCTAAAGTGCTGCATAAAGAACAAATATGTATATATATTGGTATATTCTCTATTTTTCATTCAAACTAAATGAAGAAAAATACATACATGTAAATGAATAAATAATTATTTAAAGTACTCCTGTACTAAACTACACGACTTGTACAAAAAACTGCAATGTAAAATATACGAAAACATGTATATAATATATATATGACATTATATAAATATTAGTTTTTATTTTTTTTTCATGTGCCACCAATATACTTTTATACATATCCGATAAATTCAAATTTCCGTTACGTACTAGACATATTAGAAGGAAGTACTAAGCATATCCAATTTTACAAAACCCGATACGCAGATGGCTGATAAAGTTTTAAAGGAAACTTTTTCACATATTAATTATATGCGAAGCTTCGTATCAACTGTTATCCATCTTTTGAACAGGACAGGCGCCTAATATTAATACTTGTAAACTATGATTGTCATCTAGTTTATTTGAGCACATACAAATACATATATGTCACTATATATTATATATGTACGCATTCATGATCATTAAAAAACAGCTCTCGTAGTTATAAACAAAACTTGCATATATATTTAAAATAGTATATACAGGAAGTTGCTTACCTTGTTTTAAACACTTTTTGATGAAAATATGTTCAATGCACTTTACCAACTTTGTTATGAAAAATTTTTAAGGGCTTCATAATTTTTTAATTACAGCACTTAAATGCACATGTAAATTTGTTATCTTTGCATTTATACGAGTATTTTTTTATTATTTACTAAAATTTGCGTGCTTCTTTCATTCGTTATGGTACAATTATTTTAAATATGCACATATTTTATTAACTTTTTGTCAAATTTCACTATATTATTTTCACTTTTAATGAATGCGTTATTTAAATATGGTTTTCGCGTATTTTCCGGTATATTGATAAGGAAGTTGCTTTTTGTTATCCAATTATCAGCCACGAACATACCGACTTTAACGAACGGCTTCTTCTGCAGTCGTTTGCGTACTGTGAACGGCAAATAAAATCGTTCTCTATTTTAATACTCTCACAATATGTGGCACAGAGTAGAATAGTTTTGTCGCCTAACGGTTCAGATTAACAAAATGGGTGTAATTCTAAAGGTGCTGTAACTCGCAAAATCAAAAAAAAAAACAGTAAATTCTGTTATGAGAAAGAAATTGTGATCTTATGGATCAGATAAAACTTTTACGAAAAATCACATATCACATAAACTATTTTGGCCATTTGAACCAAACTCGATTCATATTAATCCTATTATGGTTTATTGGTAAAGTTTGAAAATGAAATCTGAATACAACCAAAGGCATTTCCCACACAACGCGATTTTGAATACATTTCACTACTTACACAAAAATACTAAAAACCTGTGAAATACGAATCGATTCCTAGCCTTTATACACCGTATATAATGTTTTATACGGCCTATAAAGGCATATACTTAAGTATTAGTGAGCAGGCTTTCTTAACTATAATGAGAGTGATATTGGTTCATACCTTTAAAGTAGATATTTCGGATAGTGAGGATGGTTCCTACTATAGATATATAGACTCTATAGGAGAAGTTTACATTATTTGTGTAACAAATTTTTGCAGATATCTCGAAATAGTACTCACAACTTAAACTCTTACAAATTGCAAGCGTATGTTCAGCAGCACCCGAATTCAGTCTTTCCTATTTATTTTAATTTTTTTACTCTATTTTTATTCATTGATATGGATAAGAACGATAGTAAAAAATATGCCATAGTAATTGTTTGAAAATAAAATATGCAGTGAATACATATGTATGTACATATGTATGTACATATGTATGTACATATGTACGTATGCAAGTATACATTTTTTATTGCAATTAAATTGTGTATATCGCGTTAACCTTTTTCATCGTGGGGCATTACTTTCACCTAAATCTTAGATATTTTAAAAATATACATACTTTTAACTATATGCTATAGTCGTCCGATCTGATCAATTTCCTCGGATATTGCACCGTTGACTGGACAATAATCCATGCGAAATTTCGTGAAGAAATGTATACTTTGTATGTATGTATATCTCTGCTAATAAAGAATTTTTCCATACGAGGACATGATTTTGATCGTTCAGTTTGTATGGCAGCTATATGCTATAGTCTGCTGCTTCTCGGGGAGGAAAGAACGTGTAGGACTAGTTCGCGAATATACAGACAGATGGACGGGCAGACAGACGGGCAGACAGACGGACATGTCTAAATCGACTCAGTTCTTCACGCTGAACATTTATAGATATACATATGTATATATATATATATATATATATATATATTAGAGTAGGTAAAAAAAATATATATATTTTTATACATATGTCCTTAGACACGTCTAAGAAAGGTTCTCTAAATAAAAGGTTCTTAGACACCTCTAAGTTATTATTTTCGACGATCTCCTGTGTTTGTCCATACCATCAGATCGCAAAAGAAATTGTGACTATTACATTTCTTCAGTATTATTTTTTAACAAAAAAATTCTAACTCTTTGAACTTGTAACTGTAAACAGCTAAGTGATATGAATTCTATAGAATTCTACCGCTGTAACAACAACAACAACTATGTTACTTGAGGAATATGTGCAAAGTGTGTTAAAATATTTTTTATAATATATACACATAAATTATTAAAAAATTCACTTGTCGCTCACGTATTTGTAATCTTCGCGTAAAAATAAAACGGTTTAATTTCAAATTTCATTAAACTATACATTTACCAAACAATATTCGTTCTTTTGACTTTTGATATTTTTTAGGTCTACCTCTCTCAGGGTATAAAAAAATATATATCGCATTGAAATTTCTCAAATAATACATTTTGTCTTTTAAAAAGAACGTAGAATATGGCATCTTTATTTTTATACCATTAAAGCTGACGCCATGGCAGCACTAAAAGTTCACTCAAATCTGGCAACAGATTTCGTTGCAGTGAAAATTTATCAAGTTGTGCATAAATACAAAACGAAGCAATTGTAATCATTTATTTAGAAAAATGGATAAACGTTCTAAGGAAGCGTTACGGCGCTATAAAAAGTCTAGACAACAATCTAGTTCTGACAGCTCGAGTAGCTCTGATTCTGATTCATCAGGAAGTTCGTACTCGAGTTCAGATAGTGAACGACATCGTCGGAAAAAGGCTCGTCAGGCAACCGGTGGCGCATCTCGTCGTTCCAGTAGCTCATCTACCGAGGAACGAAGAAAGCGAGAGAAACGTGAGCATTGTCAGAAAAAACTCGAAGCAAAGCGCATTCATCTCAAACGTAAATTAAAAGAAGCTAAATTGAAGAAAAGAGCAGCGGCGGCAGCTGCAGCTTTAAGTGGCCACATTGGTCATAGGTCACTTTCTCCTACTACTCAAGCAAAGTTGAAAAAACTTGCTGAACGCAAACATCAACGTGCAGCAAGTAAGGAAAGACGCGAACGTGAGAAACATCGCGCTGCGATCGCTAGGGAAAGGGAAAGAGAGCGCGAACACCACCGCACAGGTTCTCGGTCACCTACAAAAATTACAAAAATACGTATTCACCAAGATGTCAAACGTCAGAAAAGTCCCCCTCGTATGCATCACACAATGATGTCACGTGAAAAGATCATTATTCAAACTCGGACACGGGAGCGTACACCTTCTCCAACAGTGGAACGTCGCCATGAACACAAAATACGGCATGAAGAATTGGTAAGGGAACGTGAAAGGCGCGAGCGTGATCGAGACCGTGCTGAACGTGAAGCGGCACGAGATAAAGAACGAGCTGAAGCATTGGCGCGTTGTCAAGAGCGACAGCGAGAAAGAGAACGTTTGGCTAGAGAAAAACTTAGGCGCGAGGAAGAGGAAAAAAAATATGGTGGAATTGGTAGTGAACGTGGAGAGCGATTATTGCCACGACCAGCAGAAAGGGAATTGGCTATAGCAGCATCTCGAGGTTACAATAGTCGAGAGCGTTCTTTAGAAGCTATTGAAAGAACACGGCATATGTCAAAACGTGATTTAGATGTTTATGAACGAGAACGGGAATATATGGAGGCTGAAAGACGTAACCTAATTAATCGTGAAGATATTCGACGTGATCGTGAATATATGCCTACCCGACGTCGTGAATTGAGTCCAGTCGGTGAGCATTACTCTGCACGATTGAGAGATCCCCATGAAGTGTACCCAGATGAAAGTCGAGAAAGGTTTGTATCTTGATAAGGGTTTTTACTGTGTTATATTTTTCTGATAAAAATGTAATTTCTAAAGGACTTATAATCGTGCATATATTGAAGAAGGGCATCACGGACGAGAACGAGAAGCCCCTTGGACTCGTGAATTGCGTGAACGGGAGTTACTTGACATACGCGATGTGCGTGAACCACGTGATACACGAGATCCACGCGATTTCCGAGACCTGAATAGTGAACTTATATATCCTGATGAAAGAGAACGCCTGATTCGCAATCGAGAGCGTGTTCGTGAGGAATGGAAGGGCGATTGGGATGTAGGTAGGGAACAAGAATGGAATGACACACCACCAATAACTGGGCGCGGAGGTTTTATAGGTGGACCTAAAAGAAATACTACCTTAATCGGTGGCGCACCTAATCCAGGTCCATCAAAAATAGCAACACGGGAACAGAGGGCCCCGTCAGAGCCCGATTGGGATGCTGTTGAAGTGCAGAAGAGTACAGGAACTAATATAAATAAAATAGAGCCTCCACTCATACGTGATGGATCCAGTTTTGGTATAGGCTCCGGACAACGGGATACATGGGTTGCGAATGATCATCATGACATGCCACCTCAAAGAGAAAAGCCTATTCCACCACCACGTACTGAGGGTGTAGATCGACGTTGGCAAAATGATTGGCGGGAAGAGGAAGATGCGATGCAACGTGTTGCATCTGTAAATAGTGGTGGTAATATTCCACCATCCATGCATCACCATCGAAGCGAGCGTGGTGGCAGAAATTTTCGAAGAGGGGGTGGCACCGGAGGACCAGATCATGGAGATCGTAATGGACAAGGGCTTCGAACTCACCCACCACCATTAATGACATTACCCGTGCAACCCCCTGCAACAGGTTTTCTTGGGGGAAATCCTCGCTTTCCCAATAAAAGTAAAATGACTTACACAAATCCAAACATAATCAAAAAGCAACATGCTGCTATAGCCGCCGCTAAAGCTGCACAAGCGAGCGCTGTAGCAGCTGCAAGCACAGCAGTAGCAGCTGCCAAAGCTGCTGCTCAAAGCGCTGCAAATGCTACGACCAATCCAAGTATACTAGGACAGGCCAGCAACTTGATACGTCAGCAACATGAACAGTTTATCAATGATGACAAGCCGGAAGCCGGAGAGATTTTACACGATGCTGATAGTATCAAAAACTTGGATATAGGAGCCACAACTAAAAAGGTCGATAATTTCTTAGCGCTGGGAAATAATGCAGTAGGTGATGATAGAGCGGCCGGTGAACTAAGTGAAATTAGTGATAGTGATGATGACATTCTTAATAAAGGAGATAAAAAATCTAGAACTGAAACAGATGAGGATTCCACAATAAAAGTTGATGGTATTTCCGAACAAGAGGATTTGACACGCAGTAACGATGATGCAGGAATTGTGGATGAGAAACATGAAGATGACGAAATTCTTGATTTCGAAGAAATTTCAGATGGAGAGTTGGAGGAAGATTCGCGTAACAAAGGTATGTGTAATATATAATGCTGACAATTACAAACAAAAAATATTTATTTTCAGGCGTTGGAGATGCTCTTGGTGTTGACTGGGCCTCACTAATTGCGGAGACAAAACTTCAAGCAGAAAATGCGGTTCCCGGAGCTAATGAACAACCAACAACAGCAAAGCAAAAGTGGCAACCGCACCGTATAATTCTTGACATGGGAATATCATTGTGTATGGCAGGCGAGGATTACGCCAAGAAACTGTTATCTGAATCGAGACAAAAATTAGACGAGGAATTAAAAGAAATAAGCCAAAAGGTTACACTAGAAAGAAATACAGTGTCAGTTACAAAAGAGAATGATGAAAGTAAGAACAATACTTTGGAACATGTCATTGATACCAAAGAAAATGTCGATGTTAAAATGGAGCCGATCAACGATAAGCCAGTAGATGAAATGGATGATGAAGCTTCATTCAATTTTGACAGTTTACAACCACTCGCTTGCCTGCAAGTAGGTGAACGTAAACAGCGCCTGGAACGGCAAATGTTAATATCAAATGCATGTGGCACTCATAGTCGAGCTTTGAGCGCTCGGCAAGACTTAAAATTAAGAAGGCAACTATGCAATTTACCAGCACGCGATTGTGATTTATCCAAGCCGCCACCTATAAATGCTAAAATAAAATCACTGGCTCTAGCAGCATTTCAACGGACATTAGAAGTAAAATAAGAACTCAAATTTGTCAACAATTATAAGTATATACATACATGTACTATGTTTTTTGGCGTTAAAATAAAGCTATTTACGAAAATTAATTTGTATACATATGCATAACAAAATTTAAGGCGGTTCAAATCAAAACTATAATGAAATAAGTCTCCAAAACACATACATACATATTTGTTGTCTCTTAAAATATTTATTACAATTTGTATGTATATTGTTTCATCATATATTTTTTGATTTAAAAATGTTCAGCTCCGTGGTTTGTTCAGCCAATAAGTCGAGGAAAATTTCCATTTTTAAATTGCACATATTGTTCTCCTCTTCAAGAGTTTTTATGCGTCGATTCAAACGTGTTACGTCATCGGCATCTGTTTTGCGAGTAGAATGTATCCATATTCCGTCAGCAAAACGTAACTCTTTGCTACCTAAATTAAGTGAAATACTTTTGAATTCATCTAAATCCTCACTAATAGCAGGACAACCGGTATTACAGCGTGCCGCGCGGGGCGGTATTGGCTTTGATTCATATTTCTTCGTAAAAAGCGGCATTGTTTTAAAACTAATTTGCACTATACACATACATATTTATGTGTGTATGTTTACAGAATACTAATATAATTAAAATTTAATATCACAAAGGCCTGTTGCCATAACAACCTTGTATTTAGGAAACACAAAACGCTCACAATATTTGGGGGTTACTTAAATTTGCTTTCGTATGGTTGACAAAGGATTAGGTGGCATGAAATTGAGTAGAGCGCACCGAGTAATATGTGTATTTGTAAATTTCTAACTACCAATTCAAGAGTAAATAAAAGAAATGTGCATGATAACAGAGTTCAAATATGTCGGAAAAAGAAAACAAAACCGCATCATCGGACCATTACGTGTAAGCAATGTTCAAATTTATTAATTGCACAAAAATTCTCAAATGAAATACTTTTTTATAAGTGTCACAAAAACTCTTTTAGACAATTAGATGAAATCAAGAGAACCTGTGAAAACTTAATCAGTTCAACGCAGACTGACTTGGAACTTTTTACGGTATGTCAAACGAATCACCTCTATAATTTATTATCCAATACATTTGTGCGTTTTATTAAGTTTCTTTTATTTTTAACTATAAAAACCTGTCAAAACTGTGTAATTGACTTTCAAATACAGCATGAGCAGCTCCATTTAAGGAATCAAATAGAGGATATATTAGCTGAAAATAAAACAATAGACAAGAAACTGGAAGCTCTTAAAACCACAACTGTCCAGATTACCGGAGAATCCAGGGATGATGCCACGAGGGAAAAATTTACAAACGATGCATTACTGAATATTAAAAAACAAATAGATTCTCTGGAAGCGGTGAGTTAAATTTTCAAAGGCATCATATCTAAAGAAGCCTGTTTAAAAATTTAAATATAATTATCGTTTTAGGAAAACAATGAATTGAGATCTCTAAATAAGAGCTCACGGAAAAGAATACAAATTCTCGAAAGTGAAATTCAAAATTATAGAAATTATTTATGTGAATCGAAAACCGTTGCTGAGGTAAAGTAAGAAGTTTATAATATGTATATATTTCTAAAGTAACGGATATGTGCAACTTTGTAGCAACTATTTTATACTTGGTTGATAGTTTTCGTCAACATGATGCTGCTTAAATAAATTATTCTCGCAATTTTTATACAAAAATATGTATGAACATTGTGTTATATTACAGACAAAGCAAAAGTATGAGACTGCTATGTTAGTGCTGGAAAATACCATTCAAACACAGAAGACGCAAATTACAAAACAAACACAAGTCATCGAAAATCTATTCCAGCAAAAGGATCAGTTGAATAAACATATTAAAAAACTCGAACAAGGTATGTTGACCAATTTGTTTTGAAACTGTATAAATACACATGAGTATTTCGACACATGTTGTCGTATAATATAATACAATATCGTCGTAATGTTATAAAATATTTATATATATTTTGGTTTCAAAATTAAAAAAATTGTTTTTATTGAAATTGTAATAACTTTTTATTAACAAAAATTGATTTTAATTAGAAAAGGAAAGTTTAAACAATGCGACTACAACAGCTACAATCGAAAAACTTAAAGTAAAACTTAATGAGTCAACACGTCAAACGAAAGAGCTTCAATTATCTCTAAAAATGGCGAAAAGTGTAATCGAAGAACGTTATGAGCGTGAAAAATGTGCCCTACAAAAGGTACAAGAAGCGTTATCAATAGCTGAAGCAGCGGTGGTGGACAAGGAAGATGCACAGAAGCGGGAGCAAGTTGTTAAAGAGGAATGCGATAATTTGGCATCTACGATCGGCCAAGTAATGGACGAAGCAGCGAAAAAAGTAGACCAGGATATGGATGAATTGCGGAGGAAGTTTAGTGAAAAGGAGCGTAGCCTTTTGGAATTTCAGTTGCATGTAAGTTATTAATTTAAAAACAAATTATAAAAATGATTATTTATAACGCAACCGTTAAGCAGATGAAGGAAGAAATAAAAAAGCAAAAGAAGTTCAACCAAATACTGGAGACACGTTGTAACAGATTTCAACAAAAGTACAAAGACAGTATGAAGGAAGTTGAAAATTTAACACAACAGTTGGAAAGCGCAGTTAAAGCGTTGGTATGTAAAGTCTATATTTAAATTCAAAAACACGTTATTAGAAAAAAATTTTTTTCTTAAAGGTTGAAATGGAGAATAAGATAAGCAAACAAGAAAGTCTACAAAAAATATTAATGAAGTAAGTTATGATTATATTGTTAAAGAACTTAATAATTTTTTTAATGCAGGCGTGCTGAAGAAAAGGAAGATGTAATTCAAAATTATATTAAAACGAACACGAGGTTGAAAGAGGAGTAAGCATATACAATTAATGATATACCTAGTTATATAGTTGCACGTAAGACATTTTTTTTTTTAGTTTACAGTAGTATTTAGAGTTGTCAGTTAAATATCGCATTTAATTACAAATCAGATTACACATAGCTGTGACTTTAAATTATTATACCCTGAACAAGGTATATTATGATGCACATATATGTATAAATGATCAGCGTGACGACCCGAGTTGATTAAGCCATGCCCGTCTTTGTCTGTCTGTATACACGCGAACTAGTTCCTCAGTTTTTGTGATATCGTCACGAAATTACATACTTCCGAATAACTTTTTCCAATCGGAACACTATAGCATATATCTGCCATACAAATTTAACGGTCAACATTAAATTCCGCCATAGATAGATTAATATAAGGCCATACAAATTGAACAACAAAAATCAAGCTCTAGTAAGGAAAACTTTTTTATTTGACAAAATATCTTCATGAAATTCTGCATGGATTATTGTATAAGGCAATGCTACTATATCCGAATAAATTGTTTACATCAGACCACTATAATATTCAGCTGTGTATTTGTGAAGGGTATTACAGCTTCCGTGCAACCAAAGTTACCGTTTTTTCTTTTAAGTCAGTTTTTTCAATTTCAAGTTGAATCGTTGTTTGCGAATTAGAATATATAAAGATCTGTAAATGTCGTTATTATACAGAAATATTTATTTTTACAGATACAAAAATACGCTCTCGGACATAACAAAAAAATTTGAAATGGAAATTTATTATCTACAAAATGAAAATGCTAGACTCAGGACTAAATAACATTTAAATTCAGAGGATAAATAATATTTATTGCAAATTATGAATAAAACGTATAAAAATTTATATTTAATTATATGTATTATTTTATATGAAATGACAATATTTTTAAGCATTACAAATTTTTAAGCGAACTAACAAGAACTGTATATATTTTATATTTGTATATACATATGTACGAGTACGTACATATTCATTAATGTGTAAAATATACGCGAATACCTAAATTTAATGATTATGAAATATACATTTATGATCAATAAATGAAGATAAATATTTAAATGGATTGTTTATAACGTCCCGGAAATAAACTTGGAAACCAATAGCTCAAACGACTATTTTCCTCATCTTGCTCGTCTACCCAGCATAAACCTTCACTTACTGCTTTATCAAGCGATTGCTTTGCGCGGAATTCACTCCACCTATAACGAAAATTTCCACTTAAAAAATGTTTCACATAAAAATCATTTATTTCCTACTCCAGTTGCTCAGTTAGCATTTTCAGTGTTACGTAACCCTTTTCTGTATTGGAAGCAGCCGTTAGGATTTTAGTTTCATCCATACTCAGTTCACCAGGTATCGATTGCACCATGTATTTTCCCTTACCCACTTTATATACCACAAATCTAACAAATTCTGTGTAAGTTTAGTAACTACAAAAAAATTTTAAATCCTTACCCATTCCCAAAGATACTTAATTTTTTTGCTGCCATCAAAATGTCTTCGTTCGTGATCTCTTGATGTACTGCACTCTGACCTCGAGCAGCTATAAGCCGCCTACGCAGTTCATTTAATTCCATTAATCCACCTTCAAATAGTTTGGTTAATTAATGTTCAAACTAATTTGTAAAATGTAGTATCAACATTTTTTTTCAGTTCAAAATTATAAATATACACAATTAAATATTCTGACGAATTAGCTTTCGCCAATTATTGTAACAGTAAACGTTTCAGGCAAACCACATGAATACCCTGAAGATTTCGTTCCTACGACAGTCGGGTCTACGTAACCGGAACGGACCCGGATTTTTATCCGTCCAAGGACTGTCAACTATAACAACAACAATACCCTGAGGATTAATTAACTCAATACTGTCTCAACTTTTTTCTTCAACAACACAAATTAAAAAAAGATAAATAAAGTATAATTACATTTAAAAACGATTATAGCAATAATCACTTTTTTTTAGTTGATCGAAGAAAATAAACCGGCAATTTAATTTTAAACATGTTTTCTCCGTGGAGTTTTTCCTCTAAATGCGTGAATTTTTCCATTCTCTGAATTGTTGCTGTTTTTATAATGTTACTATATTTACCAGTTTTATGATTAGCTGCCAAACACACCTCGACGACCTGCACGCTTAACTCGTAATAAAAGTCGCCCATTCCAAGTACGCTCCAAAAGCCTTTGCCTGTAGCAAGAGGATCCACACCTATTGCTGCGCACATTTCCTGGAATTGTTTACGAAACTGGGAATTCTTGCGAATGTCTGTCTTGTGCTTTACAGCAAATTCCTCCAGTTTTAAACGAAAAACTTCCATTTGCTTGGACATTTGTTCAAATTGTGATTCCTGTAAGTCACTGCCTTTGTCTTTATATTTCTCAGCAGCCAATTGCTGCTGTTGTATGGCTCCTAGTCCAGCTCTTCGACGCATTTCTGATTTTTTAACTTGGTTATTATAAATCAAATTGATGTATGGTACTATATATGTATAATTACAAATAAAACTAATTTAAATTATGTCCATGTAACCAAATGCAGGAAACAGCTGTTTGAACATTACCAAGTTGCCACTATATTGCAAAACGTATAATCTTGTTGCTATAATGGCGCGAATACCCACCATCGTAAAACTGCAAGATATTATCAACCTAAAACAAAGAAAAACGTTAACTTCGGCTGCACCGAATTTACAAAACTCTTTACAGGTGCATTTTTTTCATTTCAGAGTATAAAAATGTCTTTTTGAAAAGATCTTCTCTTTGTATAGGAGCTATACGATTTATTAGTCCGATGTGAAACTTTTTTTTACGGAAATTGTACCGTTGCCAAATTTTGTAAAGACATAATAATAAATAAATAAGTTTAATATACAAGACCATGTTTTAATCGTAGTTTATATGATAGCTACATATATGCTACAGTGGTCCAATACCGGCGGTTTCGACAAATAAGCACGTCCGTTCCCACGACAGTTGGGTCTACTTAACCGGAACGGACCCGGATTTTTTCCGGCCAAGGACTGTCATCACGTCAGAATTCTGCTGCTACAACAAAAGTAACAAATAAGCATCTTCTTGGAGTGGAGAGGAAGTAAACAAACTTTTATATCGATGTCTCAAAAACTCAGAGGGTAGTTTGGGACATACAAACAAATGGACTTGACTAAATTGACAATATATATATTTTACTGGATCTCCGACGTTTTCTTCGGAGTGTTAAACATTTCGTAGCACATTTAATATACCCTGTTTAGGGTATAATGAATCATACAAATGCCAACTCACCATTGTATTGGAATCATCAAACAATAAATATTATTGGAATTCGAAAGATAAATAAGCTCCATATATGTATATGTTTACAAACTAAAATATTATGAAATGTCTATTCAAATTCATTGAAGCAGAGTATAAATCGTCATGTATACTTACATATAATATATCAACACTTGTTATCTGGACTTGATGCAATTAGTTTTTAGCCATTATTTGCTCTTAAACAGATGTAAAACTTTACCTTGCAATATATTTATTTACTTTTTATAAAGTATCTTTAGCAACATTATTGTAGTATGTGGTTAATGCATTTTCTATGTAATTAAAGATGTACTTACTAAAAATCATTGGAAAAACAATTTTCTCTTTAAGGGGAAAACGTATATAAAAACTTCGTTCGTGCAATTCTGTCACAAATTTTGAAAAGAACAACTTGAAGACATTCACAACACAATAAAGATGAATTTTTATAACGGTAAGACAAATAATTTTAAATAATACTTGTTGATGTATTATTATTTTATATTTACTTTCCCCGATGAAAGTACCGCTCATGCTACTTCTGGTCTTGATTGCCCCGACAGCATTTGCAATGCTTGGGGATGGACAACCTAATTGCACCACTCAGGAAGAAATTCAGATGCGCATATTTCGCAACAATTGGGACCCAACTTCCTATTGGATATGCGAAGAACTGAACGAGTCAGCTATTTTAGGAAGATGTCCTGAACAGATGGCTTATCTAGACAGTGTCAAGGATTGTGTCAGTTGGGACGACTGGCAATGGGAGCAGCCATCAGATACTTTGACTAATGTAGAACAATCGTAATTTCTTTCAATTCAGTGCTTGAATAAAAGTAATAATTTCAGAATCTAATACTTAAATGTGCTGCGTTTTAATACAAAATTTATCCTACCTAAAAACACGAAAGCGAAGAGTATGATATTACTTAAATCTCATTGTAGCTGTACAATATTTTAAATAGAAATGTTGCAATATCATATATAAGTAATTGAACAGAACATAAACTTACCTACTTAACTAAATACCTATGTACAATATATGCATATGTATTATATATTTATATTTATATATATATTTCCGGAATCCATTTATCAGAGGTCGCTGTAATATTTTGCAAACTATATAACTCTTCATCTTATTAAAATATATAGCTTGTGTTGTGTTAACGTTTATTTGTTGCTGCCAATTGGCTTATCTTTATGGCATTAATCTTACAAAAATGAGGAATGCGTATACATTTTATAAACTCATAATGGTCTCCAAAATAATTATAAAATTATATAATATCATATATTTCAAAGCAGGAATATCTCACATACATACGTATATAGTAAAATTAGCTGGCTTGCATTTTTTTCATATTACAATTAGAAACCAAATGATAAAATTATTAAATTTTGTAAAACTTCACTCATCAGTATTTGAATAGACCGAATTATAAATTATAATTACTGTTTATTTTATTTTATGTGGCAAACTACAAATACATAATTTCATACATAAACGTTAAATATTCATAGCTGAAAAGTTTAGTAAAAATTTTGGGGAGGCTGTCAGATTAAGTGGTAGTAAAAATAGTAGTGTATGGTTGAAAATGTTAATAGTATGTCTAATCGTCCATACTCTCATTTCTGTCAGGTGAGGCATTTCCATTTTTCGGTGACACAGACCGCGAACGGGAACGCGATTTGTTGTCTGGCGAGGCGGAGCGGTCGCTGAAACGTCACGAACATAAAAAATGTTAAAATTAGCAGGGATGCTTTGGAATTTTGAAAAAGGTAGTTGCGTGAGTTAGATTAATTTAACCAAAATACTCGAAATTAAATGCTTTTCAGAATATTATTTATTTCGGTTTAAAAGGACAGCAATCCAAAATAAACAAAAATAAGACGAAAATAGTAGTAAGAAAAGCGAAATAGAATAAAAAGAAATTAATTGAATCTTTAAAGTGCATGTATATGCTGACATAAATGCTTACCGTGATCTGGAATCTCGTCGTGATTTAGATCGAGAGCGAGAACGAGATTCACGCTTCGACACTGACCTGGAACGTGAACGGGAATCACGCTTAGGAGAGCGTGAATGTGAGCGGGACCTCGATTTAGATTTGGACTTGGATATTTCACGAGATTTGCTATATAGTACATAAACGAATTAACTTTTGATCATAGAAAATCTTTTAATAGGGTATTTACTTTGAACGAGATCTCGAACGTGATTTTACTGGCGACTTAGACTTAGACCGTGCACCACGTGATTTGGAGCGACTACGAGACTTAGAGCGTGACCTCGATGAACGGCGGGACCTGGAGCGTGAACGCCTGCGAGAACGGGATCGTGAACGTGAACTTGAAGAACGGGACCTTCCACGACCACCGCCACCACCACCACCACGACCTCCGCGACGATCTTCAACCAAAGTTATACGACGTCCATTCAAATCAGTATCATCCAGTTTTTCAATAGCAGTCTTCATGTCCGACAATGAGGCAAACTCCACAACACTGTTAAATAAAGTTATTGATGGACGACACGTCTTTCTATATGGTTTTAACCTCCTTACCCTTCATTGCGGCGTTGCTTATGTGCATCAGCATAGGTAACTTCCCCAGCTTGTCGCATGTAGTCTTTCAGATCCTGATTACATAAAATTGACCAATTTTTCATTACCGGAAAGGGAAATATGAGGAAAAAAAGAACCTTTACTATATATCTTAAATTTTATTCCTAAAATTCGGTTATGAAAGTAATATAAAGAATTTGCTGAAGAAGCTTAACAGTGAGTGTTGAACAGGAACGAATTTGTGTCGAATGCGCCATTAATATATCAACCTTGTCAAATTCGTCGAAATATTCATTCTCCGTGTTACGTTCGTTTACAAGCCAAGTTCCTACATTTCCTCTTTGGTTTAAGGTCAAATCCAGTGTACAACACTCAGCTTCGAAAAGTTCAGAACTTCAGCAAATTATACTTGATCTCACCATGTCATCGGAAACATTTAACAGATGAGAACAAGTAAAAAAAAAAAAACTATCTTTTGCGTAAAACTATATTATATACATATATTAAATAATACGGTAAAAGTATTGCAATTCTTACTTAATATCACATCAACAAAGTCGCTTTTTGTCAGTAATACTTTCACTGTATATCAATTGTATTTGTGACCTCAATATAAAGCGCGATCAATGTAGGCAGCGGTTGCATATGCTATGTGGCGTATAGGACCCTCAGATGTGTTCGATTTTTTTTTTTTTTTTTTCAAATGTATAAAGTCTCAGCAAATTGGCACTATTCAAATGCTCAAGTCGAAAAGGCAAGTCGCTTAATTAGTTATATCCAACGAATACGTAAATATATGCACCTCGTCTACCATCTTTTGTGAAATTTCGCACGCTTATCTCACGTAAACACTGTGGGTCGCAAAGATAACTCTAGTGTGACATGCGGACGATAACGGTTTGTCGAATCATTATTACTTCTTGAAGAGAAGCATCTGAACATAGACTCTGCAAGCAAATAGGTACGTCACTCAAGTGTATACTCGCTATAGAAAAGGACTTCCGGTAGCAATTTTTATAAGTGTGCCTCGTTGCGCTGTTGCTCATGCGAACAAGAGAACCCAATTTATAAGTGGCTTAGATTAAGGCCGCCATAAGACATCGGAAACCAGTTATGCCTTTTTCGGAAAGAATGTTTCTTCTACTGTAAATAAAGGGAAATGAGTTCAGACCTCCAGAATGGAGGTATGATGTTGCACTCTCTTGACTGCCACCACCCATCAACATCGCATTTAGGTTTGACATGTTGGTTTGCTGATATTTTCTACGGTCCCTCATCACCAGAAAGAACTATTGGTAGGCCGGTTAGATACAGTTCAGTCGACGACATCGATGTTCTACATTAAGTACCACCTAAGCAGTAGACCAGTTATAGGACATCTTTTGCACGTCGCTAATTTTTGGACAAGGAACAGATATAATAGCCATAGTCAGAGCACAAGAAAGCCTGGGAGCACCTTTACTCAAGCCGTCAGAAGCGTCATTAGGAGCATTAGAAGCTCTATGGCACCACTCGCTCACCATTCGTAATCGCAATCGTTCGGAAAGTTTGTCCGACAGGCTCTACGTTGGTACGACACTGTGATTATTTTGCAATCGCTATACGCTATAAGGAATTCGACAATTCTAAAATTAAATGATTTTTAATACATTTTACTTTCTTAATATATGTACCTAATTTTAAAAAACCAGCGCATTCAGTTTGTACATTTAAAAATTTCATATGCACCAGACATCGAACTATATAATTGCACAGGCAGAAAATGATAAATCGAATAATTGCGTTTTGTGTCCGCTTCTTCAGCTCATGTGCCTTCATTAGGTTGCTCTGACATCTGTCACGATTCTTGTACCGTATTTTTTTATATTAAAGATGTTTTTTTAACCCTATCTCATGAGTGCTCCAACGTCCTGGCTAAACATTTTTTAAGTGATGGAAGTGGTTGTTTACTTTTCCTTGCTCGAAGCCCAAAAATCTTATTAGAAGCGAATTATTCCCAAATTCGATTTTGCATTCGGTCGCATTAAAGAAACAACATCATGACCATCTCAGGAACCGGATGAATGTTAACAATCTACCTCCAAGAATGGACTTTTTGTTTTTGTGCCTTCATGCCCGAGTTCAGTCTCTGTTCAGAATTGGATTTGTAAGTGATTGCAATTAGGATGAGTCCTTATATATCTTTCACACTGCATTTGCCGCCTTTCTCGCCTTAAAATCAGGGAGGTCGCATGAGTTTTCAAGTGAGCAGCCAGCCAAGCGGGTTGATTGCACTTGTACTCATAAACAGTTCACATAAATTCTTTCAACCAAGGTGATGATCTGTCTGTCAACCCATTAGTGGCATTTCTTTCGTATAGAAAAAATAATTTATCGGATAACACCGGTCAATTAAGCATTTATAAACAAAGATACTATTTGAAGGAAATATAATTTATTGCAAATGTAGTTAAACAAAGAAGTACATGCTAAAGACGCAAAAAGTTGTTAATCAAACTTAAAAAAAAAACGAAAAAAAGGCCTCTAATCCTGTGACTTTACGTATTCATTAAAACTTTTAATTAGCCGGGTCTATTTTGCATTCCCTTATCACATTTTAAGAATTGAATAAATCAACCGACATATGTATCGACCACACCCCTATATAGGAATTAATGTAAAACTAACCAAACTACCATATTTAAAAGCGGTATATTAATATATAAATGTCACACACTTTTCCTATATTAATAAACCATTTTGATACACAATGAATGTGCAGAACTTCTAAAGCTAGCACTATACTATAAGCTTTGTAATAAAGTACATACCTGCCAACTAACGCGGCTCGATAAATTCTCCACAATTAGACGGTACTCTGTTCGTAACGGCGGCCCATAACGAGAGGATGATCTGGAATTTTTGTTTCTGGTGAATAATTTAATAAATTTGTAATTAGTTGTGACACTGCTGCTGTTGCTGGACATGTATTTTTAATTATACTAAACATGTGTGGTTCAATGGACAACATATAGCAGAGCAATTATAATAAAAATTCTGTTCATTAAAATACTAACATTTGACTGTAGCATGTTTTCTTTATTATATGTTTATATTCTTTTCAATTTAGCAATCCTTTATAAGCCATAGAAATATTGCCAGACTACACAAAAAAAAAACACTCGATCTAATTTCAAATTGTTGCATAGAAAACGTCTGCATTTTATAATCCACAACACGATATGGTGGTTTTATATCCGGTGACATTAATTTATTCAACTAGGTTATATTGAGCAGAGTTCAAAGAATTTATTGTGATATATTTGCTCTAACATAGCAGTTTTTTATTAAATGATATAATATTTACTCAATCAATTCAATTGTATTTTCGTAAGCAATTCTTGTGACTTTTAAAGGATCATATTCTCGTGATTTTTGAAAAATCATGTCTACTCAGTATCAGTGCCTTTTTAACAATATTTCAACGATATAGATACAAATAGCACACACATAAAATATCAAACAAACATGTAAATATACCTATGTCACAAAAACTTACTTGTCATTATAACGACCACCACCACCGCGGCGCCCGCCATATCGATCGTCATACCGGTCTCTATGACCGCCACGAGCTGTACCTCTTGCAGGTTCGACAACAACTCTGCAATAATATTACTGATAGAAAAAAAGAACAACTTCACAATTTTAAGTGAGGTACCTCTCTCCTAATAGTTCTTTTCCATTTAACTCATACACTGCATCATCTGCATCTCTGTAATCTTCGAATTCCTGGAAATTATACATTAAAGAACTTAATACGTCGGCGCAGTCAACAAAGCAAATCATAATACATATATGGTATACCGAAAGTAACCTAAAATCGATTTTATAAAAATAAGTCACACTTACCACGAAGCCATATCCATTTTTTAACAATATATCTCGCGTTCGTCCATAACCTTTAAAAAACCGCTCTAAATCTCTTTCACGAACTCCATACGGCAGTCCACCGACGTAAACTCTTGAGCCGACCATAATTGCCTGGGCGTGTTTCGTATAATTCTGAGTAAGCAAAAATAAATATTTCAATTTAAGTTATACATATAAACGTGAAACAAAAATAGCTTAGTAATTGGCAATTACAACGCAATTGGCAATTCAAAATGGACGCACAATGGAAAATTTTAATTTTATTAAAATTTCTTTTGACTACCTTTCCCCAACTATGCAATTTAAAACGTTGCGTACCTTTTCTTGAGTCTGTTAGATTAATCCACAATTTATTGACTTCACTTTTATAATCTTATCACTTTTTTCCAACTCTATCTCACACAAGAAAAATACAATCAATCTCTTCGGCAATCAAAACGGAAATAACCACTTTCCATTGAACACTTTGCACTGTAGAAAAATGGCGGCTTTCGCTTGGGTTCAGAGCTGCCAATTTTATAAAAATAAAAACTTGTTAAAGTGCCCAGACTCTGTAAACATAGTAGTAGAAAATATCTAGTGAAGCAAACTGTACACATCGGTCATCAAATTCTCTTTAGCGGACATACAATGAAAAACATGTGTGTTCGATTGGAATGTGGACGAGGGAGATTTATTCATGTATGGGCTTAAATACGAATCCATGTTGGCGAAAATTTCCGAGATTTTACAATTGTTGTGTATAAAGTATGTATGTCATGTTTGGTCTTGTGTGCATACAAGTACACATTTGAAAAACTAAAAGTGACAAAATTTAAATAAAATTGAAGAGAAACAAATGTTAAAAGAATTTATTGCCTAATACATGTAGTCTATGCATTGTGTTATGCACCTCTCTGAGAAATTCTGCTTTTCGCGCCAAATAATATGTTAGTAATTGTTAAAGCAGCGTTCATGTCCTGCTCCACATCTTGGCAAGCAATTGTTTATTCCATAAGTGCCGTTTCACACAGGGATTCAAAAGAGTCTCATACCAGTTTATTGTGGGCGAGGGGACGACGAGGAAAGACGAAGGGACCGTGCCACTCGTGTTCGGGTGGATTTCAAAATATTTAGGTATGTAATGATGTGGCTCGCGAACCATCAATATTGCATACTAAATGTTCAATACATAACGCGTTAAATAAACATAAATTGAACGTGTAGCTGGCATTGGCAACCAATGCTTGGCAATTTATGTCTTGAAAATTTTCAATTTAATTTTCAAGTTCAGGGTAAATTTTCTAGATCATGTTCAATCTGTTTTAATAAGCTTTTCATCTAGAAAAATGCAGTAGCAAAGAGTAATTGAATTATATATCCGATGGTTTGACTAAAAAATGCTTTCGAAATATCTCCAAAATTATCGATAGGTGATTGCTATACCGGCGTGTTTTTGCTTCCTTTTATCGTGGTTGAGTCGCCATTTTCGCAAGCAACGACAGCAGTATTGATTCAGTGCGCTTCGGTTTCGGGCAAAAATAATTTAGTTATTATCCTTCGTGTTAAAGCAATTGTCATTGCAATTGATATAGACAATATCATATTTAGTTCCACGGCTTTAAAACATATATTTTAAATAAAAATGGCAGATGTTGAGAATGGAAACTCGAATGGCAATTACAACGATGAGGTAAGTAAATATTTTTAATTAGTTTTTTTACATATTAAAATGTTCATGAATTTACTAATGTAATGGTAAATAAAAAATAATATTTCCATTACTACCAACATTGTTTAGAATTGCGGCGTCATTATTGAGCGTCATGTGTTTAAACAAAATGGCGGACAATATTCTTTTTTTTATTTTACACTGTACTTGTATATTATTCGGTGCAATATTTATATAGATATTGTAATTAATTATGGAATTTTGTTATTTCATAACAATAAGTAATTAAAATGATTGATTTTTTTATATTTACAGCCTATTACCGAGCCTGAGCAATTAAGAAAGCTTTTCATTGGTGGTTTAGATTACCGAACTACTGACGATGGCTTAAAAGCGCACTTTGAAAAATGGGGTAACATTGTTGACGTGGTTGTAATGAAAGACCCCAAAACAAAACGTTCCAGAGGTTTCGGTTTCATTACATATTCACAGTCATATATGATTGATAATGCTCAAAACGCTCGTCCTCATAAAATTGATGGACGTACCGTGGAACCTAAAAGGGCCGTACCGCGCCAAGACATTGACAGTCCAAATGCGGGCGCTACTGTTAAGAAATTGTTTGTAGGTGGTCTCCGAGATGACCATGATGAAGAGTGTTTACGAGAATACTTCAAGTCTTATGGTAATATTGTTGGCATCAATATTGTTGCGGATAAAGAAACCGGGAAAAAACGTGGGTTTGCCTTCATCGAGTTCGACGATTACGATCCCGTCGATAAAATAATTCTGCAAAAGAATCATACCATAAAAAATAAAGTTCTTGATGTAAAAAAGGCTATCGCTAAACAGGCAAGTACTTTAAATTGTTAAATTAATGAAAATTTCAATTAAATTTTGTGTTGGAAATTTTGATAAATTTAGGATATGGAACGCCAAGGAGGAGGTGGTGGTGGTGGACGTGGCCAAGGAGGAAGGGGTGGCGGTCGTGGAGGTGACCGTAACAATCAAGGATGGGGTGGTAATAATAGACAAAACGGAGGAAATTGGGGAGGCAATAGTTTTGGTAACAATGGAAACTTTGGAGGCAGCCAAAGTGGTCCAAGCGGCCCAGGTAACTGGAATAACCAGCCAGCACCTTGGAATAACCAGTCTGGTAATGATGGCGGCTGGAATAATGGGGGTGGTTTTGGTGGCCCTGGAAATGGTGCCAGTAATGGCTGGAGTGGCAACAATGGTGGTGGTAATTTTGGTAGTGATTACCAACAAAGCTATAGTGGTGGTCCTCAAAGAGGAAATAACTTCGGAAATAATCGATCCGCACCTTATAATCAATACAACAAAGGTAATAATTTAGTCAAAATGTAGTATGCATAAAAATAAAATTTATTTCATAAAGCAGGAAACGTGGGTGGACAAAGTGGTGGTTTTGGCGGTAATAATTACAACACCGGTGGAGGCCCAAGCGGTGGCAACATGGGTGGTGGTAACCGAAGATATTAAAAGTTGAGGTAAGATGTTTGTTCTTTTTACAAATATGATTTATTACGATAGCGGTTTTGTTATTAGTTACCACATTTTTTTTCCTACCATTAGCCAATTTTGTTAATATGTATTATATTTTTTTTTTTAAAGAAATATAGCTGCAACTTATTGTTGCTTCATATAGTAATAAGTGTACGGAAATTTATTTGTTTATAACAATTTTTCTTTTTTTGTAAATAGGTAAAGTACATAGTACAATTTCAAACAGAGAGACAGGCAGTCTAGGCACAGGCAGGCAGGCAGGAAGAGAAATGAAATAAGATGAATAACAGATAATGCAGACAACTGCAGTCCAAACGCAAATCTACATTTGTGTAGGCAAATAAGGAAATTTATACAGATAAACTAAATATTTTATTTGACATTCACACAAGTACAAAGGAATCATAAAACCCGAATATTTGTAGTGAACAAAATTATTTAATTGTAACCCACTACATATAAAACACAATACCATAGAATACCCCATAAATGGAAAAGTACACTTTATACGTACTTTGGTCGTCTTTTTTTTCATGTTCTGTGTATTAAAAACACCTGTCTTAACATCTTTCACTTTTTACTATAATTTTACTTGTAAGACATTTATAAGTTTTCATACAAAGCATTTAATAATTAAAAGTATTAAATATGATACAGCATAATTTTGAGAAAATTAGACGAAAATAAACAAAACATCATGAAGAAACAGAACCTGCTTAACACCACCATTTGAGTTACCCTTGTAATTCTAGTTATAGTTTTTAAATTATAAACAAAACTTGTGAAAAGAGTATAATAAATTTATGTAAGCGTGAAATCAATAAGGTATACTTCAAAAGTTTAACCACGTAACAGGTTATTATAAAGTTTTTTGGGATGTACTTTTGATTGGTAAAATAATTGTAAAAACATCTTTTTCTGCGATTCAACATCATAACAAAACAAAAAATCAACTAATCATTGAGGTAGTGCAAGCCATACACTCTACTCTTAGTTTGAGTTATAGCACAACATTCGCAACAAGTAGCCTTAAATGTTACTAATCCTTATATACGTATTTTTTACAAGACGGTGTACAGAATGCACATTTTGCTATAAACACGCTAAGTACGTCGGGGGATGCCGAGATGCGTTTTTTCTTTCTGCGCTTCGAATACTAAGAGGGTTTCATTAATATAAAAGGTAGGTAGTAGTTTAAATCATTTTAAAAATTTTATTTTACAAATAAAATATTTAAAAAAAACAAATTTGTTTTTGTTTTTTTTTTTTTTGTCAATAACGGCTTTTGTCGTGAAATTTTGGTGAGTTACAATTTACCATTGGATTGGTTACTTTTTTAAGTAAACGGACATGGATATAAAACTCGACAGGAACTGGAGGTTCATTGCAATGAAATATCTGTCCTCTTGTAACATCTTTAGCCGTTATTTTTGTTTGTTTTTGGTATACGTGTTAAATAATATCAAACAAAAGGAGTGAAAAGTAAATTGTTGCCTCCACACGCTGTGATAGATAGACCTAATAAAGTTATTCTTGTTCTGAAAATTTTATTAATAATAAACCAATGAATATTTTCGATGAAGTAATTTATTAGTAACATCGTGGTCGTAAAAAATGGAAACTTAATTTAATGGCGTACTCCAAACTTCGTTGCAGGATGGGCAATTCGATTTTCGTTTTAAAAATGTTCGTATGCATTCTTTGTGAACTTTAATTTCACACCGATCACACTTTATATCCTAAGGATTATAAATTATTAATTTTTGTCTAATACAGGTATTGTTTTTAAATCTTACCCATAAAACTACATTCTTACAAAGCGGACAATCTTTGATGTAATCAGAAAAATGTGTTTTTAAATGAAACGCATATTCAACTAACATACGTGGCCCGAAAAATATTTTATCGTCTTTTTCCACAAAGTAACCTTGTCGTGTCCACTTTGTTATCAAATCTTGAACCCGCGTTTTTGTTAAATCTTTTTTGACATTTTGTGGCAGGTTCGGCAGATTATACATATCAACCCATGAAATACCGTAGTCTTCTTGAAAAGCCATTGCCTCTACTAGCTTTGCAAAATACAATTGATCTGCTTCCCGATAATGGTGCTGAAGTTTACTCGCGGGTGTTTCGAATGTTAGACCAAATACCAAATATTCCTTTCCCAGCAATGGATGTTTTACAAATTTTAATTCTTGATTAAATTCTTTTAAATCGCTGTTTATTTCTTTTACCAAATTTTTCACATCGCCTAATACAGCAGTATCATCATCTGTAAAATCTAGCTTAAGCATTTTTGCGATTACACATATAGTTATACAAACATGATTGAAAAATTGGACCCAGTATTTCACTAATTTGTTCCGAGCTTAAGCTGCCGTGATTCAAGCAAGCTTGTAAGAAAAGTTGTTTTACTTCACTCCGCATTTTAAATTTATAAATATACGCGGCTGATTAAATAGATTTTTGCAAGCAAAAGTAAACAACGTATATATATATGTTTATATGGTGAATACATCGTATAAGTTATCGTATATCGACATGCAGTATCCGCAGGCAATTGTTATTATCTCGAAAATCTTATTTGTTGCCTTTAATTTTGTCCGGTGCCATAGTCCCAGTTCACACACGGACTCTTTTGTCGCCCGTTTTTCTACGGGTGAGAGGATGACGGGGAAAGACGAACGGACCGTGCGGCGCTCGTGCTGGGGTGGCACGCCTTGTGTTCTGGTTTGTAACAATTCGCTGGTACGCAATTCAACATTCCTTTTCATTTCGAAATTATTTTCATTGTTGCAGTAGCGCTCGGTTTCAATTAAATATATACGACTTGTTAAAAAATTTGAATTTCGATATCTATTTTTTGTATGTAATATGCAAATATGTATGGATAGAAAATAATAGTGAATAAAATTAGGATACTCAAAAATATTTAATTAAAATATTTTAACAACATTTAGCGGTATTAAATGTTATTATATATACAAAAACGAATTCTAATAAAATTGGTAACTTTACTTTTTTATATTTACATAAAATATTACGATGCTTTCATATTTATTTCTTTTAACCGCAAAGAATTTAGTTCGAATATAATTTTATTTAAAATAAGAATTATAATTAATTCATAAATGTTTTACAATAAATAGAAAAAATATGGAGTAAAATAATTATGGGTGTTTAATACTTCCCGAAATATTAGGAAATTCCTGTCATAATTTTGGCCTTGAAAATATTAGTAGCGGGTACGATGCATATTGTTCTACCACATTCATGGTAATTCCTTGCAAGCAAAATGTGAGACCACCATCCCAACATACAAATGAAATATGAAACACACTCTAAGTGTCGCGTAGCCGAACCGCACAAACAAAAAATTGTGAAAATTGAATGAAAAGGAATAACAGAAAGAGAATTTGACGATATTGAGCGACAAAATGGTCCTCATTTAAGCGCAGTATATTTAATAGTTACCAGAATAGTTAGCCTGGCAGTTTATCTTATTACTATAACAGTGCCAACTGAAAGATAATATGTACTTAATACACACAGTACAAACAAAAATGTGAAACTTATATACAAATTTGAATTTTCGACGTCTTTTAGCTATTGATTTATCAAGATAATAAATGTCCAATATTGCCGCCAACATTGGTAATAATTCTGTCAGTTGGTCGGCAATAATTATTGCCTATGGAGATGCAGCGTAGCAATATAGAAAATTAGTTCAATTTGCTTTAGTAAAAATTACCTCAAAACTAAATTCGGTAAAGTTTTCCTTACAAGGAAGTGTTCCAAATGGACCTTAACAGTAATAAGCCATCATCCATACAGTACCTAATTTCTCTCTTAACTATACTAGACTAGACCTAGACTAGCCTTCCATATGTATGTACATATGTATATGGTACATACCTATTTATTCTTACTTCATTAATAACCAAAGATACAAATATAATATATACATATATATGTATATATTTGTATCTTTGTCATATATGTATATATATGGACTTATTCACATACATACATGTGTGCAGCATATGGTATACGCATATTTGGCAAAAATTGCATAAAAATCTTCGCTGAACTTTCAAAATTTCCTTTAATGCTATATGTAAATATACTTACGTATAATATATATTGTACAATCTACATATATATTGAATTGTAATGTAGATTTTGGCAAGGACTTAGCATTTTTTTCTGAGAACAATAATAAATTTTTTTTTGTTTAATAAAAGCCATGTAAAAAAATTTTAATTTAATTTTAATAAACTAGTTTTATATGTACATATACATATATGTACTTTGGAAAGAATTGAATAGTTGAAGGAAAAATTTGTCGCATAATAAATATTAAAATTTACGAAACTAGGCGAGCGAGCGAAGCGAGCGTCCCGGAGCGCAGCGTCCGCCCCCCGCCGAGCGCGAGCTAGCTCGCTCTTATGTTAGTTGATTCTCCACAGCAGCAGAAAACTTTTATATATAATAGAGAGATTACACATACACATCTTAAATTTAAACATTGAAAATATATTTTGAAAATATATTTTTTTATAGCTTTTAAAACTGCCTTTTCGCAAGAATGGTCGGTTTTAAATTATTTTTATGTCTGGTTAGTATAATAATATATGCTTATTATAGATGCTATATATTGTATATCATCTGATCTCATTGAAAGTAATCATGACTTAATGCCTGTAAATGGAATGATAAATGTTATAAATTAAAAAATAATAATATTAAAGGCGTAGGAGATTAAAAATGTTTATAAAAATGTAAAAATGCGTATTATACAAAACCTGTATAAATATATTGCATGTAAAATACCAGTGTACAGAGCATTAACGTGTTTTAATTAAATAATTAAAGTTAAATGAGCTTTGTAATGCTTACCTCGGGTGCTGTCAGACGGTTCTTCGGATTATACACCACTAAGTTCGATACCAAATTAATTTCCACAGCGTGTGTGCAACTAGGAAACAGGTTATCCCAGTGAATTCCAACAGCCTTTGGGAATCTTTAAGTAAATAAAAATAAATACAAACAAGTAGGAGTTTTTGTTCCACAAGGAATAACTGCAAAATTCGATTTGGAGAATTTTTTGGCTAAGCACTTCTTTCATTTTACATTTTTTTATCAAAAAAATTACCAATATAGCATATTTGAGAAAATGTTTGTAACTACAGCTTAAATATCATAAATCGGATTTGGCGGTTATGCCTTGTGGCCACAAAGTAATACACATTTAAACTTGAATATAATGATTCTCAATACGTTGGGATACCTAATTTTGTCGTAATCAGGTAATAAATTAATATCTGGCCACTCATTCAGTCTGGGGCTACCTAGCGTTCTTATTACGAGTGCCAGTTGCTCGATATCAGTTGCGCCCTAATTTTAAAAATCAAAAATCAAATAAGCGTTGAGTTTAAAATACAATATTGCTTACGCACAGAAAACAATGGCACTCCTCTCAACATTTCCGCAAACACACATCCTGCTGCCCACATGTCCACAGCTGGACCATACTTTTGACTTCCCCATAGTATCTCCGGAGCTCTATACCAGCGTGTAGAAACTTGAGGCGAATATGATTTATTTTCATCTTTTGGAAAATGTAAACGAGCCAAACCAAAATCAGCAATTTTAAGTTTTTCATCTTCACTTATAAGCAGATTGGCTGGTTTTATATCCTGCAAATTAGATTGGATTTAAATACGAAATTAGTTTTACGATTATGTTTTGGTAATTGTGCGAACCTAGCCACTATTAGTCCTTTACTTAAATAAGATAACTACAAGTATTTTAGTAAAGTATTTGTATTTAAGTATTTGCTTTGTGATACTTACTCTATGCATGATACCCATATTGTGCAGATATTCGATTCCTTTAAACATCATTAACGTGAATTTACGAATTTGCTGCCTGCTTAGTGGTTCGATTTCGTTTCTCAATTTTCCATATAAAGTTTCAGGCATATATTCTAATACTAACGACAGTCCGGTTAAGTCTGGATATATGTCAATAATTGATACTATCTAAAGTTTACAAATAGGAACAAAGTTGGTATTACTCGTAATTATTCCTATTGAACATTTTTTAATCTTACATATTCCGATTGACATAGTTGCAATGTTTTTATTTCGCGCAAAGTGTTCAGTGAAATATTTCCAAATTTATTCTTCAATGCAAGCTTTTTAATAGCTACGGGTTTTTGTCGTTGCAGATCAATCGCTTTAAAAACGTAGCCATGCACACCTTCACCAATCTTCTCTAACATTTTGAAACGATTTGGTGCATAATCCTCCATTTTTCAACAAATACTCATATTTGCCTATGGAAAAATCAAATAAATAAAAATTGTTCAAATCGCACGAAAACAACGTTGATTGACCTTTCGTTAGTGCATTTGTATTGCAATGTTACCAAGGCAATTCGTTAACAGTTCAACATGTGCTATTCATTCAACCCTCAAACCTTTTTCTATGTCCTTAGTGAAGTGAACCGCCAAATTCGATTTTAGACACGACAGAGCTGTAGCTGCAACTGCGCTATTTAAGGTTTCAAAATGCTATAATACCCAGTTGCATTTCTTATAGCATTAAGGGGATTAAAATGGAGATTAAAATGATCGAATTGTCCAACAATTTTACAACCGAAGAGTAATGACAAACTCATAAAATAGTATGTAAATAAATGTATAAAAAACGTTACTGTTATTAGTTTATTTTGGGATAAAGAGCTTGTGGCGGTGTCAAAATCAGGCGCATGCTCTTTATGGATCAACATATCCTTGTCAATACTTGTCATGTACGAAGGATACACAATTTTCACTTGTCCATAATATAACAACGTTCTACAAAGTGTAGAACTTTTTCAAAAATTTTAGCTTTTAGCAACATACTACAATGTAAGTTTATTATGCGAAAGTAAAAAAGGAAGTTTTAAGTGTTTGTTGAAATCTACCGAATGATTTAAAAGGTAAATTTTCTATTAGATAATAGGTCCACATGTTGGACTGTATAAAGTTGTCAGAGAATTTACACATTGTTTAAGTTTATTGAGAAATGTGCATTAGAAGCCTACAAGAGAAGTTATAAAAAAAAAAAAAAAAATTAATAAATAAATAGTAAGAATAAATAAATGAAAATATATTTATATGAGGATTATGATTTTTATTAATTTGGCATATACATATATTGAAATTATAAAAAAATTATATTTAATTGGAAAAGTTACTTGTAATTATCTTATTAATAATTTAATTAAGTCCAATGCATAACTATTGGTTTTTTTGAAGGCTTTAAAAAAAATGGCATTGAAAAACCGAGCACTGTATGCTTGTGTGTGTCTCCTGGGATTAATATATTGCAGTAAAGGCCGAACTGCGAAACGTTCGGATGTTTATATTGCCGGTTTCTTCCCTTACGGCGATGGAGTGGAGAACTCCGATACAGGTAATGGAAATTCAAAACATTTGCGCAATTATAGCAAATACATAGTTTCATATAGCTTTGAGTAATCAACAAGGATAATTAGAATCCTTAATTGAAAAAATAAGTATTTTAAATAAAAAAGTCTACGCTATTTGTAAAAGTATCCTCTCTTTTTTCCTTGCATACTCCTAATTTTTTTTTACATAGGCCGTGGTGTTATGCCCAGTGTTAAGTTGGCACTTTCTCATGTGAATGAACATCCCACAATTTTAATTAACTATCGGCTGCACATGTGGTGGAACGACACGGAGGTACACTTACATTTCTAATGCTTTTCTACCAATATGTGGTTATAAATATTTTGATTTGATTTTTTTCAGTGCAATGCCGCAGTTGGTGTTAAGTCCTTCTTCGATATGATGCACTCAGGTCCCAATAAGCTAATGCTCTTCGGAGCTGCTTGTACACACGTAACAGATCCTATAGCTAAGGCCAGTAAGCATTGGCACCTCACACAATTATCGTACGCCGATACTCATCCCATGTTTACGAAGGACGCATTTCCCAACTTCTTTCGTGTGGTGCCATCGGAGAATGCTTTTAATGCGCCACGTCTGGCATTACTTAAGGAATTCAATTGGACGCGTGTCGGTACATTGTATCAAAATGAACCACGCTATTCCTTGCCGCATAATCATATGGTGGCCGATCTGGACACTATGCAATTGGAAGTTGTTGAGACACAAAGTTTTGTTAATGACGTAAACGAACCACTGAAGAAATTGCGTGAAAAGGATGTACGCATTATTCTTGGCAATTTCAATGAGCATTATGCTCGCAAAGTTTTTTGTGAAGCTTATAGGTAAGCGAAGGCCTTAATGAATTAATATAGATGAAGGGAGGGAAAAGGGCTCCAAAGTAGAAAACTGATTACTTTTGATATCTTGGTAGATTGGAAATGTACG